TGCCTCACACTGTGCCTGTGCCTGTGCCTCACACTGTGCCTGTGCCTCACACTGTGCCTCACACTGTGCCTGTGCCTGTGCCTCACACTGTGCCTGTGCCTGTGCCTCACACTGTGCCTGTGCCTGTGCCTCACACTGTGCCTGTGCCTGTGCCTCACACTGTGCCTGTGCCTGTGCCTCACACTGTGCCTCACACTGTGCCTGTGCCTCACACTGTGCCTGTGCCTGTGCCTCACACTGTGCCTGTGCCTGTGCCTCACACTGTGCCTCACACTGTGCCTGTGCCTGTGCCTCACACTGTGCCTCACACTGTGCCTCACACTGTGCCTCACACTGTGCCTGTGCCTCACACTGTGCCTGTGCCTCACACTGTGCCTCACACTGTGCCTGTGCCTGTGCCTCACACTGTGCCTCACACTGTGCCTCACACTGTGCCTCACACTGTGCCTGTGCCTCACACTGTGCCTCACACTGTGCCTCACACTGTGCCTCACACTGTGCCTCACACTGTGCCTCACACTGTGCCTGTGCCTCACACTGTGCCTCACACTGTGCCTGTGCCTCACACTGTGCCTCACACTGTGCCTCACACTGTGCCTCACACTGTGCCTCACACTGTGCCTCACACTGTGCCTCACACTGTGCCTCACACTGTGCCTCACACTGTGCCTCACACTGTGCCTCACACTCTGCCTCACACTGTGCCTCACACTGTGCCTCACACTCTGCCTCACACTCTGCCTCACACTGTGCCTCACACTGTGCCTCACACTGTGCCTCACACTGTGCCTCACACTGTGCCTCACACTGTGCCTCACACTCTGCCTCACACTGTGCCTCACACTCTGCCTCACACTGTGCCTCACACTCTGCCTCACACTGTGCCTCACACTCTGCCTCACACTGTGCCTCACACTGTGCCTCACACTGTGTGCCTCACACTGTGCCTCACACTGTGCCTCACACTCTGCCTCACACTGTACCTCACACTGTACCTCACACTGTACCTCACACTGTACCTCACACTCTACCTCACACTCTACCTCACACTCTACCTCACACTCTGCCTCACACTGTACCTCACACTCTACCTCACACTCTGCCTCACACTCTACCTCACACTCTACCTCACACTCTACCTCACACTCTACCTCACACTCTACCTCACACTCTACCTCACACTCTACCTCACACTCTACCACGGCTTGTATCACCGTGAGGCCTCAGAGGAGGAAGAAAAGCATTTGGGTCACGGGAAAGTAGTTGCGGCTGCAACCTTTGTATTTCCTGGTCTGATGAACTCTTTCAAAAAACCACGAAAGAGACCAACAACGCGTGCATTAAATGGCGAAGCCCTGATAATAATCATATGTCTGTTATTATCGGGAGACATTCATCAATGCCCCGGCCCGGTGTTCAAAGCAGACTTAAATATAACCGGCGATGGCAACGTCACGCTGCGCTTGGAGTCCAGTGAAAGCCCCGCACATGCAACAGGAATATTACACCTGGATATACCGATCCATGTGGCGCGGGAGTGTTCAATCGGCACTGGTATGCGGATGGATGACAATGCCATGCATAGCAACACTGCGGAGAGCGGACACCCCGTCTCCGTGCGTAATCAGCCGGGCACCGGTATAGGGGTGCAGCAGGGAGCAGAGCGCAGGAGAACGCGCGCATCCAAACCAAGTCATTTCAGTAACAAACGAAGAGCACCTCAACAAACAAGCTCCCAGCAGAGGAGGTATGACGTGACACTTCTACACACCCTAAACCATGCGAAAGTCGTCTGGGACAATAGATCTAAGCCACGAGGCCTGCTGGGAGGCCGTTTGAACATTAGGAGCATTGCCTCTAAAACGGAACAAGTGGAGAAACTCCTCACCAATTCGAATCTGGACTTTATCTGTCCGTCAGAGAGCTGGTTAACAAAGACCTCTCCACAGGCAGCCTATAACATTCCAGGCTATACAGTATACAGAAGGGATAGGACAACTGGAAAAGGAGGTGGACTATTGTTCTACATTAAAGACCATATACAAACCAATCAATTAAATGTACAAGTGAATGTGGATAAAGAAATTGAATATATTGCAATAAGTGTAACTCTGTCACCTCATATGTCATTTATATTAGTGGGTTTTTATAGGCCACCCTCAGCAGATGCACGTTTTTATGTATCATTTAAAGACATTTTAAAAGAACTAAATACACTTGGGAAAGAAGTTATTGTAATGGGGGATTTTAACGTAAACTGGACCGACACAACCAATAGGAAAAAATTAAAGGAGATAACATATAATTTCTCACAGCAAATAAATGGACCTACAAGGATAACAAAAACATCAAAAACACAAATTGATCTGATCTTTTCAAATATGCCTGGCAGAATAATAAAAAGTTTTAATTTCATAACTGGAATTTCAGATCACAATCTAGTTTGAATTGCACGGAAACTCAACAAAAGTAGATTTGCCTTTAGGATAAAAAAAAAAGAGGTTATCTATAGAATCCCAAAAAAAGATTTACCCCATTTTGACTCAGAGTTGCAAAAAGTTGACTGGATTGCACTTGATTCTAAAGATGACATAAGCACATTCTGCATACATTTTTTAGAACTAATCAATAAGGTTAAAGAACATTTTATGAAAAAATGTAACTTAAAAAAGAAAGCAAATTTGCCCTGGCTGACCGGAGAGATATGGAATCTAATGCGAAGAAGAGACTATTTGTTGAAGAAAACCCTCAAATCTGGCATTGATAATGATATGCGTTTATTTAAAGCTAGTCGTAATAAAGTGGTGAAGGTGCTCCGGGCTGCAAAAGCTGACTTCTTTATTGATCTGATTGTACAAGCTAAAGGCAATAATCAGTTAGTCTGGAGGCATATAAATACAATTTCTTGTAAAGAAAAGCCCCATAAAAATTATGAAATAAAAGTAAACGATGAGTTAATTCATAATGAAACAGAGGTGGTCAGTATTTTTAATACGTATTTTAAAGATTCTGTAAATGAATTGGCAGTAGTGTTTGGCAAAAGGGCAACTGAAATTATGACTGTAAATCCAAATAAACCTGTACTCTACCTTAATGAGGTTTCAGAGCAGGAAATTCAAAACATTTTACAAGGACTTAAAAATTCAAAGTCCCAGGATGTATATGGTTTAGATTCAAGTACAATCAAAAGAAATGCTACTGCCTTGGGCGGGCCAATCACACAACTCACGAATCGCTCTATTAAAGAAGCAGTCTTCCCCAACTGTCTTTAATTGGCAGTTATCACACCCATGTACAAAGGAGGAGACTTGACCGAACGTTCTAACTATAGGCCCGTGAGCATCCTACCAGTGATATCAAAGGTTGTTGAGAAAGTGGTAGTAATCATTTAAACTATGGTGAACACCCTCTAAATCCACTTCAATTTGGTTTCCGGAAAAATCATTCAACAGAAACAGCCCTGTGTTTTTTTGTTGAACAACTAAAAAGCATGTTGGATAAAGGAGGAGTGGTTGGAGCCATTTTTTTGGATCTAAATAAAACATTGGACACAGTAAACCATAGCATCCTTTTATCAAAACTATCACAACATAATATTTCAGAAAGTGCACTGCAATGGTTTAAATCATACTTGCAGGGGAGTATGATTTCAGTTCAATATTTGTATTGAACTGAAAAACTTTCTTCTTCAGACACTATAGAGATAATCTACATCTGTGAAACTGAATGTGTACATGAAGACCAGCTTCAGGGACAGACTGATCCACCCTCGCTGTATGAAGGAGAGGTTGCACAGGCCTCCTGCGGCTGTCAGACTGTACAATAAAAACTGCGGCCTCTGTACATGTCGTCTCATCTGTAAATAGTAAATACTGCAATCATGAGTAATACTGAAATTTCAGAACGTTCACTGAATTTACTCTCTTCACGCTTCCATATAAGATAAGAGAGAAGGAAATAAGAGCACTCAGATTGCACACATTAAAGTCTATTATTTAAGATAATAGGCAATAAATTTAAGATAAAATAAATAAAATAAAATAAGAAAATCTGGGCTACAATTGCACTTGGTTTGGAGTATTTACAGATGTCTATATTATACATTAGCAGCGGAGTTATGAGAATATGAGAATAAACATCAGAAATAATATCAACAGGTAAGGTGACTTGAATGGGAGAATTATCAGATGGATATGAATAATACAGTAAGATATCAACAGGTAAAGTGACGGTGGAAGGCAGAATTATCAGATATGAAATAATACAGTAGTACTGATAACAGTAAATATCAGATATGTAGTACTGTAGTAGTACTGATAACAGGTAAAGTGACTAGTGACAAAGTTACTAGTGAATTATCAGAAACACTTGTGCAGACTCAGCAGTTCCTGTTACACATTCTCGTTGTACAGTCTGACAGCAGCAGGAAGGAAAGACTTGCGAAACCTCTCCTTCACACATCGAGGGTGAATTAGTCTGTCACTGAAGCTGCTCTCCAGAGCAGAGAGAGTGTCCTGCAGGGGGTGACAGTCATGGTCCAGCATAGATGTTAGTTTGCTCAGGACCCTCCTGTCCCCCACCTGCTGCACTGTGTCCAAGGAACAGCCCAGGACTGAGCTGGACTTCCTGATGACCTTGTCCAGCGTCTTCCTGTCCCTCTCTGTGATACTGCTGTTCCAGCAGACCACACCGTACAAGATGGCTGATGCCACCACAGAGTCATAGAAGGTCTTCAGGAGTGGCCCCTGCACTCCAAAAGACCTGAGCCTCCTAAGTAGGTAGAGGCGACTCTGGCCCTTCTTGAAGAGGGCGTCTGTGTTATGAGTATACAGTTTACATATACACACATATTGATATTTACTCGCTGCTATTAGGAAGCATTTACGGCAACTTTGGAATTTCCCCGGTGTCGGACCAATTTACAGTCTTAAAACTATAAAATATTTGAGGGGATTCATGAGTCACACAAACATGAAGCTGGAATAAAATCTGATCCGGAGTCAGTTCCACAGACTCACCCTGGTGGAGACTCTGTAGGCCACGAATGCGTTCATGCCGTCCCCTGTGAGAGAGAAGACGGTCAAACTATCATTGAGAGGACTGGGGCGGAGGTGACAGGAGCAAACATGTGCTGCTTTGGTTCAGTTTGGGTTCAATCATCCAACTTTCTGGATTCCGGCTCAGACACACATCATTACCATTTATTTGCAGTTTTGTAAATTGTAGATTATAAGGCCTTACATCGCCACCTATAAAATTCCAAACTTAAGTATTTCAGTCTACTTCTGGGATGAGTCTTATTGTCCTCCATGTTTGTAAAGTCGAGGGACATGAATCAAAATTGGTCTGCAATGTTAAGAATCGCTCTAATATTGAGTTGTGGCCCAAACATCACAGCACATTTGTTCCCAGTTCCCATATCTATTACTGAGGTTTATTACAAGCTCAGTCAGATGTATATGTTCTCTTCACAAACAGAGAGAGATCAGCAGGAATCGGCAAAGACTGAAATCCCATGGCGTCAGTTAGAGCCACAATCCAGCCTCATGGTTCCAGTGTTGGCTTCACTGTGACATCAGGAGAAAGAAGCAGAGACTGACCCACTTTCTCAGGACTGGTGACCGAGATGTCCACGTCAAAGCTGTCCTTGGCTTCTTCATCTTCCTCCAACTGTTGCAGGTCACAAGCAGAGTATCAGCAAAACAGAGACAGAGGACCTCAAACATGCGCCTCCTAGTGGACGTCCAAGTTAATGGTAGTTCGGCCTCCACTGAGCGTCTTTAAAACGATGTATAACACATTTGCAGAGATTTTTATCTGAAAAACAACCACAGCATTTATTTTTCCAAACACATTGAACCCTGAATGCAATAAGTAATAATTCAAGTGGACTTTGTTAAACCGAGTCTACAAAACAAGTTTCCAGTCTCTGTTTCGAGCCCAAACCTTAACTTTCTCTGTTAATGCAAAATGAGACCAGAGAGAGAGAGAGAAAAACAGAGAAAGAGAGCGACAAGAGAAAAAACAGACCAGAGAGACCAGAGACAGAGAGAAAGAGAGAGAGACCAAAGAGAGTGAGAGAGACAGAGACCAGAGAGAGACCCGAGAGAGAGAGATAGAGAGAAGAGAGAGAGACCAGACAGAGACTGTACTTTCTCTACTGTTAATGTTAGAATGATAATATTCAGGTTCATTATACTTATCCCGGAGCTAAACTGCGTGAGCAAAGTAAAATAGCGTGTGCAGTTTTAGTGTTTCTGTCTCTGCGTGTGCACAGATCCACACTCCCAGATACACGAGGCCCCTGTAGATCGTTACCTGCTCCAGAGAGGTGTGCTGAGCGGGGGGAAGGAGGGCGTGGTGCAGGGGCCGGGGCCAGAGCTGCTCACCTCCACACGGGCGTCTGCAGCCAATCAGAACAAAGGGTGTCAAACAGTCACAATTTTTTAAATCCATGTTAAATGGTAGAAAACTCAAAACAAAAATAGTGTGATGGAGGCCAGGATAATGTAGTGTAGACAACTTAGTATTATCACAAAGTGTGATGTCAGTCATGTTTTTATGATGAAAGTGAATCGAAAATAAAAGGTCTGAGATCAAGTAACAAATGTATGAAAGTGTGTGGACTTCAGCACGGAGCGAGCAGAGGGCGGGAGTGTGTGGTCAGAGAGTGTTCGGGCCTGTGTCTTGTCGTGTGTTGTGTGTGTGTGCGTGCGATAGTGTTGCGTGTGTGATTGTGTGTGTTGTGCTGAATGAGTGAAGGGTTGGAGCCAAATAAGCGTCTGCTTCTTTTCAAACAGTTTATTTTGTGTCTTGTTTTTATTTATATTGTTTTGTTTTGCATAACGTTTGAAAGAAATCCTTACGACTACTCGGGCTGGGCGATATGACTGAAAACGATATCACAAAATAAGTGATTCAAAGCGGTCAATATCGATTATTATTGGGGGGTTTTCTAAAACCTAAATAAATACATTTGTTTGTTGTGTCGGCTAACAGACGTTAGCAGCCCTTGTTTACAGTCACGGGGGAATGACAACTCAGGCTGAAGGCAAATGTTCATAAGCACAGAGTCCCCCATTGTCAGTCCTGGTTTAGTCCTGGTTTAGTCCTGGTTTAGTCCTGGTTTAGTCCTGGTTTAGTCCTGGTTTAGTCCTGGTTTAGCTCCTGTTCAGGCTGTTTTTGAGTGTCTTGTGTCCCTGTGACGGCTCCGTGCAGCTCTCTGATAGCTCTCTGATAGCTCTCTGATAGCTCTCTGATAGCCACACATGAGTCTCTGTGCCCTCTGCTGCACATGCGGTTCCTCACACGGACAGAACCATTGACACGGCCTGAAACACGATCTTTAGATCCATGGACGCTACACATGGTGCGGTCAGACTGTTGCGGTTGTTTGTTTTTTTGCATTTCCCAGAATGCTTTGCGGTTTATACTCGGCTGTGATAAGTTGAGAAGTCTTTGCCTACGTCCCCCAGAATGCCATGTGCTTCTGACTCTGCTTTACTTCCTGTGTTTTCCTGTTTTTGAAGTGAAGTTGAACTATCAAACATTCTATCGACCTTGTTTTCTATTGATATCGAACACGTGTCTATCGCGGTATATATCGTTATCGTTTTATTGCCCAGCCCCAACTACCACTAATACTACCACTAATACTATCACTAATACTACCACTAATACTACCACTAATACTACCACTAATACTACCACTAATACTATCACTAATACTACAACTAATACTATCACTAATACTACCACTAATACTACAACTAATACTACCACTAATACTATCACTAATACTACCACTAATACTATCACTAATACTACCACTAATACTACCACTAATACTATCACTAATACTACAACTAATACTACCACTAATACTATCACTAATACTACCACTAATACTATCACTAATACTATCACTAATACTACCACTAATACTACCACTAATACTACCACTAATACTATCACTAATACTACCACTAATACTACCACTAATACTACCACTACGGACTGATCTGCGATCGCTGCTACAGTATGAAGAGGACAGTGTTCTTTCTGCCGTCATCTTTTGTTTAGACCCAGGATTGTTTGTTTTCTGTCTCAGATTGAACCCCTTTATTATTCCTGATGTGACGGGGTGAGCCCGTCCCTGAGCACGCTGTCCCACGGAGCGCATCTGAAGTTGCGCGCGCCCGGTGCCATGGTGGCTGCGCGCAAAGCCCAAACCCATTCATTGACTACTGGCAGTAAGGATTGTGTTTGTGACATGTAGCGTGCTGTAACGCGTCTTCAGGGCGCACACTTGGGGCAGTTGCATCTAGTTACATGTGTCATTCACTCGCCTGTGCTGGCGTGGTCGTGGCGTCTCCGTGGTGCGTTTTGGCAAACCCGGACACAAGGAGCCATAGGATTAAATGCACCTGTCTGTGGGTCATGTGACCACAGCTCATTTGCATGGACATTTGGACTCTTCTTAGTGTGTAGCTCAATGTATTTGATGATAAATGTGTCGATGTGGAACTGTAATATGAAATCATTAACCTACGGAAATACTCATGTAGTGTAGATATGATGTAATATTAGGATAATTGATTTGTAATGTGGGAGGGGCCAGCAGAGTACAAAACGTGTGCTTGTCTGCCCCATTTGGGGGTGTGACTCATTAAGGCGCGTTCAGACCAAAAGCTTCAAAAAGCTTTTGACGCGCTTCAACTTACGCCGGGATAGTTTTGTCATTTTGATGCTTGAAGCTTTTGACGCGAGTGACGCGCCTGACGCCGGTGGGAGGAGCTTCTCTGTTGTCTGTGGGAGGAGCTTCTCTGTTGTCTGTGGGAGGAGCTTCTCTGTTGTCTGCAGTCAGGACAGCGGTGGATTTGTCAATGAGCAGCGAGCCTTTATTTGTTATATAAAGTAGAATAACGTTGTTGTAGGGCTTCAACAAAACATGTTCTGGGTTCACCACAGACTTGAGAGGCTGCAGTGTTTGCAGAGTTCCGTCAGTTACTCCCGGAGCTGCGTACGGAGGAGTTTCGCTTTCAGCGGTACTTCCGCATGTCACTCGCCCAGTCTGAGTTCTCAAACCCCGGAGCTCGCCTCTCCCCTCCGGCTCTCGCTCGCCTCTTTTCAATCGAAGAAGGGAAGGTGAGGTTTCAAAGATGCCACTGACAGCGTTTACCTTAAGAAGTAAGACTGGGATCCATTCTGACATTGCTCTGGGACTGTCCCAACTTGAGAAAAAGCTGTGTCAGCATTTTCAACGCATTGAAATTAAAGGGAAAAGAAGTGGGAAAGTGCCGGTTCTTTTGACTCCTGAAATGATTGCTTGGATGGAGGTGCTGGTGGAGAACAGAAGGGCCTGTTCCATCTCTGACCATAACCCATACTTCTTCTCCCGCCCGGGCGCAGACACCCACATCAGGGGATCAGACTCCCTACGGCAGGTAGCCAAAGAATGTGGTGCGGTGCATCCAGAGATGCTATCCTCAACCAAACTTAGAAAGCACATAGCTACTATGTCTACAGTTCTCAATATGAAAGAGAATGAAATGGACATACTAGCCAACTTCCTCGGCCATGACATTCGCATCCACAGACAATATTACAGACTACCAGAGGGGACACTGGAGCTGGCCAAAATCAGCAAAGTGTTAATGGCCATGGAGCAGGGAAGAGTGACGGAATTCAAAGGAAAGAGCCTCGACCAGATACAAATTGAGCCTGAAGGTAATTCTTGATATTATTAAAATATGTATAATTTTTTTTCCCCTAAAGGCCACTTGATTTTTATTTTCTGTGCGACAGGGAGAGCAGTAGAGATCCTCTCACAAACGGACGGGCTAAAAGAAACTTCAAGCGGAGAACCTTCAACCATTCATCCAGATGCACCCCTGGTAGTGGCAGTGCCCCTTCTGGTAAGTGTACCAGGTGGGGGATTACAGCCAGGCTGCTTGGTCCTAACCCTGGGAGTGTATATTGCTAATATATTTTTATTTCTCTCCCTAGAACGTTAGAGAAAGCCATGGTCTGCATCTGAGGTGAAGGCTGTGGAGAAGACCATGACGCCTTCATACAGACTGGAAAAGTCCCTGGGAAGTCTCACTGCCTGGCCTGGCCTGGCCTGGCCTGTATTAATGCCTCACCAGATGACCTTAGACATCGGACATGGAGTGGCATTAAATTCTATGTCAAAAATAGAATCACTGCAATTCAAAAAAAAATCAAAAATATAATTCCTTTAAAAGAGTTGTTTGTTTTCTATTGACTGTTTTGTATTACTTAAAGTAGTCCCAGTAAAAAAGATTATGTCTATGGGTCCCATTCTGAACGGCCCTGTCAAAGGGACCCACCAGGTAACAAAAACGTGTATGTGTGTGTGTGTAGAGTAGAGTGTGTGTAGAGTATGTGTTTGTGTAGAGTGTGTGTGTGTAGAGTATGTGTGTGTTTTGTATAGAGTATGTGTGTGTTTGTGTAGAGTATGTGTGTGTGTTTGTGTAGAGTATGTGTGTGTGTTTGTATAGAGTATGTGTGTGTGTTTGTATAGAGTATGTGTGTGTGTTTGTGTGTGTGTAGAGCATGTGTGTGTGTGTAGAGTATGTGTGTGTTGTGTAGAGTATGTGTGTGTTTGTGTAGAGTATGTGTGTGTGTGTGTAGAGTGAGTGTGTGTGTGTTTGTGTAGAGTATGTGTGTGTGTGTAGAGTGTGTGTGTGTGTTTGTGTAGACACTATTAAACCTGTTGATACGTTTGGACTTGGTGAGTTTGAAAACAAAGTCCAGCTTAAACCTGACTCTGACATTTCAGAAACTCAAAGTGAAAGTAAAGGTTTGACAGTCGGTCCTCTCTTTTGAATGTCTTTTGTAAAAGTAGCTTCATGGAACTTCTGTGGGAATGAATCCACATGTTTCCACTTCAGTGTTTGTCCAGAAAAGAACAATGTTTTCAAGAGTCCAGTGGGTGAGAACAGAAAGTCACTGAGGGGCTTGTGGGGTCAGAGCGTTTATCCAGGAAAGATTAGTAAAGCTGGTAGACCCTGAGTGTGTTCTCTATTAGTGAACAGAGACTTTACATCCATAGTAACAAGCAGAGGCTCACACACTCTTCCATTTGTAAAAGAACGTGTGTAGAATCTTGTAGAAATGATGCTAAAGAGCTCGTGAAGGGCTTCATGAAGAAATCCATGTATTTTCTGCAGGTTAAGCCAGATTCTTATGCCTCTACCTGGAATCAACACAAAAGATCTAATGTTTATTAAAATCAGCCTTTTAGACTATGAACACAGATACACTGTAATCAATGAGTGACATTACAACCGTAGCCCACAAGGGGGCGCTCTAACTCTATAAATGGTGTTACGTGGAACTTTACAATGAAAAGGCAAACTATATGTGTAGCAGAAACGGGCTGTTCTAAACTATACACACACAGACACACATATGTACATTATCCACATATAGCAGGGCTTATTATGGAGTGCTCCTACAGTCATGCACGTGGCGCACCACGTGTTGTAGCTACAAGGAGGAAGCGGACATTAAAGTATATAAATGGAGCATAAATATAGATTGGCACATGGTACTCACTTTGCATAGACGCACACAGAACTTATACACACAGGATTATTGATGGTTGGCATGACGCACGCGCACAGGCTCCGCCCCTAACACTGTTAAAGAACAGCTCTGAACATGGCTACGGGAGACCCTGGGGAACTACAATATTAACAGGTGCATCATGGGAAATGTAGTGACAGACATTTAACAGTGATATTTGTCACAATTCATTATTATTGAGATTCTTACAATATTCGACAGTTTTGTGATTTGATTCTGTGATTGATTGTGATTCATGTCCTTCATATTATTCAAAGACTTTACAAACATGGAGGAAAATAAGACTCAACTCAAATGTCATTTATTATGGTCTGTTCTTGAAAACGTGAAAAATGAACAATCAGGACACAGGAACTAATTACAGACACAAAGACACAACAAACCAACATCATAGAGTCACAACAAGGAACAGAAAAGTCAAACATGAAAATGAAACACTGAACAGAATGGATTCTTTCCCCAAACCAGGAGTTAAGACTGAAGTGAGATCCTGTAGAGTCTGACTCTGGGTTCACAGGATGCAGCCTCAGCTCTGTCTCCTTCACTTTGGTCCAGATGCTTCAGACCTGCTTCAGACCTGCTTCTCTACAGGTTTTAATGTGTTTAGTAAGAGATGAACTTTGAGTAAAAGACTTTTCACACTTTTCACAGACAAATGGTTTCTCTCCAGTGTGGATCCTCTGATGCACTTTGAGATCACCACTCTGAGAAAAACTCTGACCACAATCGTCGCAGCTGAAGGGTTTCTCTCCAGTGTGGATTCTTTTGTGCTGGTCAAGATGTCCTCTTTGGGAAAAACATGTTCCACACTGGTCACACTCGTACGGCTTCTCTCCAGTGTGGCTCCGATGGTGAACTGTGCGATGTGCTGCTGTTTTAAAGGTTTTACTGCAGAAGTCACATGCAAATGGCTTTTCTCCAGTGTGGATTCTCTCATGTGCTTTGTAGTGTGAAGACTGAGTAAACTTCTTCCCACAGTCTCCACAGACGAATGGTTTATCTCCAGTGTGGATTCTGTAGTGCTCAGTGAGGACAGATAAACGTGTAAAAGTCTTTTCACACTGGTCACATTGGTGAGGTCTCTCTCCTGTGTGGACATGCTGATGTAGTGAGAGCTGATGTTTGGTCCTAAATGTTTTTTCACACTGGTCACACTCAAATGGTTTCTCTCCTGTGTGGATCCTCTGATGAGCTTTGAGAGTACCCTCATGTCTAAAACTCTGACCACAATCGTCGCAGCTGAAGGGTTTTTCTCCAGTGTGGATTCTGTTGGGGCCCTTGAGATCTCTTTTTGTAGTAAAACATGTTCCACACAGATCACACTCGTATGGTTTTCCTCCAGTGTGAGTTCTGTGGTGTCTCTTTAGATCAGAAGCAGAGCTGCAGGTCTTTCCACACTGATCACAGGTGAACCCCATTCTGTAGATGGACTTTGTAGATCTGCAACAAACACAACAACGTCAGATAATTCTAATATGTTTGATGGTGGTAGAAGTGAGAAATGATATTGTTCTCTTTCAACATCAAACATCGGGTTCTGCAATTAAAGCTGGTTGCTCCCGACCCATGGGCTACACCCCCCACCCTGTATAGGAGCCACTTCTACAACCTCAGTCCTGGGTCTACAGCCTCAGTCCTGGGTCTGTCCGTGTGGCTATGAACAGATATAAACTATGACGTCATACAATGAACTTTAGAAACAGAAATAGGGAAATGTACAGTCTGACATAGGGGTGCGCTGGCTGATTAAGGACCACGACGACACATGTAGGATCACTGGTTGACTTTATCTGCAGTTCTGTATAAAAGAAAAGAAAACACAAATCCTCATGGTCTCTCCATATCACACGCTCGCAGTCCCCTGTTAGCAGCTAGCTCTCACATGTGACTACATAAACTACCAGTGATGGGCAAGCTACTTGATTTATGCAGTTAGCTAAGCTACTCTACAATAAATTCAGCTTCACTTTACAGAAGCTACCACCCATAAAAATGCAGCAAGCTAAGTTACAAAATTCTGTCAAAAGTAGTTTGCTATATAGAAGCTACTTTCAAGTAAACAAACTGCAGTCTAGGAAGGAAGGAAGCTCCGCTGTGATTGGTCCGTGTGTGTGTATTGGAAGGAAGCACGGAGCGGCTGCAGCAGGAGCATGGACGAGGCGCTATGGAGCAGAGAGCTTTGTGCTTCGAAGGAAAAGCAGTTTGGGCTCAGAGCCTGATATACAGGAGACTGTGGACTATTGTGAATTGTTCCCAGACGTAAGACAAAAAGAGACTTGGACAAACTGCGTAGTTCAAATAGAGTTTTTATTATCAGAAGGTTTGAGCGTAGTCTGATCAAGCACAACGCAGCTCCTGCAGAAGTCTGGCTGTACAGGTGAAGAGTGGCTCCTTATATACACCTTAAATGATTAGGTAAACATAGACTTTGGAAGCATGACTATGCAGAAGAAAGCGTATGGTTTCAATGTTCAGTTGAGATGGCCTAAGATGTCATAACTATGATCTAAGTATGGCTTCGTAATGGACCAAACTTCAATGTACATGAGATAGTATTATCTCATGTACTATACATCAACACTTTATCTGTTTTATGCTTTTGTAAGCTGTTTAAAGTACAGGTGTACGCCATTTTGAACTCTATTGAACTGTTTAACATGATATTTTAGCAAGCAAATAGTAATTAAATATTCACAGTCCCTCTCTTGATCACATCCACACGTGATCACAAATCAATATTTAATGTAGAGGCGCAAGTCGCTACCTCTCTGTTGATTATATTAGTTTGTAATCATCAGATTATATGACTGTTGAAAAATACAATATAATTTTTGTAAAACAAGTTTTTTATTTTGTTAGATGAACAAGCAACACAAAAGACAAATTAATAAGTGAGGTGTTTTACAGTTATAGTTTTGTTCTAATAAGTTATCTAATCTTTTTAGTAAATAAGGTCCAAGTCAGATGCTTGGATGGCACGTAGGATAATGTTATTTGGACTGGTTTCTTCTTCTTCTGACTCAGGTTCATCAGAGAATAAGTCTCTATGTTGTCTTGCTTCCTGCACCATCATCTGAAGGGCTTTAGAATATGAAGGGGGCTCTGCAAATGCACGATCAATTGTTCTTTGGATCAGTCCCCTAATGCAAGGAATACAACAACAGCCACAAGTTATCAACATACAGATTGATATTATAATTGAGGTTCCTACCATTGCAAAATATTTTCCCCATATTCCAAATGTTTTCTCCAGCCAGTCAATTAAGGGATTGTTGACACCAGACATGTCTTTCAATTCAGTGGAGAGTGCTCTAAGTTTATTAAGAGTTCTAGTCAATTTTCCATCAGGAGCAGTATTATTAACTATGGACGTACAGCAAAGACGTCCGAACATAGAACACACCCCCCCTTTCTCCGCTAGTATCATATCTAATGCCATTCTATTCTGTAAGGCCATTAGGGATGTTTGACTTAATTGTTCATGAGTAGCCTCAAAACCATCTTGAGTGTAGTTGGCTAGGCGTTGTACATTATAATGGATAAGATTAATTCTGTTTACATTTTTGTTAACCGTTACAGGGAAAAATGCTGAGAAAATGGGAAATGATTCTAAAACCTGCTGCTACTTCATCTACTAATTTATACTCATCTGGAATTCCTCTGACTTGTCCAATGGCGTCAATCCAATGTCCAGATGACATGTCACTTAAAGGGTTGATGGACCTTTTAGCTCTGTGGCGAATGATGACTTTGTCATCCCATTCCCATAATTTCGCATCTGGAAAACTTAAAGCAGCACTCATTAAAGATACAAGGGCACATGTGCCAGTCCATTTTGGTGGTAAACTTCCATATAGAGCAGAACCTCCACAATACCACCACACATCAGCTCTAGCAGTTGTAAATGGTATGTCAGTGTTTTTGCTTTTGAGTCTATAGGTGCTTTTACATACTTCAAGATGTCCTAAATCATGAAACTCTTTTAAATCTACATATGTGTGGCTAGGGTGTTCAATTGTGATGCATGTAACATTTAAATTGGTAATTTGAGTGCTAAACATAGGTGGTGAAACTCCTTTTTTGGTGACTGGATAAATCTTTTCCCACCCTCTACAGTTAAGACCCGTGTTATCTTTAGACATTACTTCTATCATACATCCTATATCTATACCTTTAGTTGTTGTGCCATTTTTGTTTGTCTCAAAAGTTGTATGAGTTACAGTAACATTCATTTTGGTCTAGCTGTTTGACATATTATGCAGTCTGTTTGGTTTGCTTGTTCAGCTTGTTGCCTAACATTTTCTAACCAAACATTACTTTCGACATAGCCCGTTTCAATAGCAAGTTGTACTTTAGGATTTTTGTTGTTATTATCAATTATCTTTATCCAAGGTAAAGTTTTATCAGGTGTTGCAGAGGTATCAAAGGCTATTTTTACAACTACTTTCTTTGTGTAATATCCTGATGTAAGGGTTTTAGATTATTTAACAAGGGGTTTTTGTCCAATCTATTGATGGTGAAGGCTAAAAGATTTCTTCTTGGACCCTGTATGGGATAATGACTTTTGCTTTTGCTCTTTATTACTGTTATTTTATCTGCAGCTTTTGCAGGACCACGATAATTGGAAGATTGTGAGATTGTGTAGGATCTGAATGGGTCCAGAGATTCCTTGATAGGCAGAGTCTACTCATCTGGGCACAATGTGTTTGCATTTGGTATTCACCACAAATGTAGACATCCTCTCCCCTCCACTGGGAGTGGTCGTCACTACAAGTAAAAACAGAGCAAAAGTCAAAAACATATGTCCAATCCTCTCCTGGTTTGTAGTTTAATTCTAGTCCTCCATGTTTAGCTATGCAGGGGTCAACATTGGTTCGGCGTTTTTGTCTATGTGTTTGGTTGCTTGCTAAAATATAAGATAATTTAAAGGCACACCGTGTAACTCTTGGCCACTAGGGGCGCTAGACCTGCAACTTTCACGTTTAGCGCCCCTAGTGGCCACAAGCAACTCAGCACTGTCGCAAAAGTCAAACAGTCAGCCGGTGTCTTTTGAGTGTGTATTCAGACAGCATGCACTGGTGTGTGTGTTCAAACTGTAGAGACATGCCTACAGATATTGAGAGACTCTGCTGTGGTCAGCCTCCAGACCGCTGCATTAGTAATCTACCACACATGGACTTCTATATCCTGGATGAGGGAGTTCTGCGTCTAGCTCGTGCTGCGTGGAATGACATCGTTGCGGTCGATGACATCCAGGAACCAGGTGAACAGCAGCGCTCATACAGACATGCAGCTTACAGCACGATCCCTTTCGCGTTTCCTCTTTTTAGCCTCCTCCAAAGGTTTAAAATTTTTCCTTGCCTCAGCCATGACCAGGAGTCGAGCAGGTGAAAAATGAGTAGCAAAAGCCTTAGCTCCATGAGTATATCAGCGCCTGTAGCCGTAAAGCAAGTCTTTCTTCCAAGTCACGTGACCTGGTGGCAGACGGTCCGTCTGCTCGAAAGTTACATGGGCGGTATTTCAAGAGGGCAGCCCCGCTCGGAGCATTGCAAGTGTCAAGCGCTGTATATTGGCCCAAGTATTCATATAAAATAACTCATATGTGTCAACTCTTTAGGTCACAAAGTCCGCGGTGTGCCTTTAACAATACTTTCATTTTTAGTTGTTGGAGTGATTTGTTGCATATTTACATTATTTTTTGGTGATGGACATATAATGTACCACCATACTAAAACAAAAACAATAGTAATGATTGCAAAGAAATATAAGATTTCTGGAACGTCGCTTTGTGGTAAGAAAAGAAATTCATGTTTTACTGTCTGGTTATTCAATGTTACTGCCAATGGTTCAGTAAAAATCTTTGTTTCAGGTGATCCCACACAGCCGGATATGGACAAAGTTTTGGATGTCAATGGAAATTTCTGACGAATACAGGACACTGTTGCTCCTGAGTCCACTAGAAACTTAATCTTCTGTCCATTTATTTTCAAGACCACCATTGGCTCGCTTTTCCATGGTTTTAGCGATTGGTCTGACTGTGGGCCTCTCTAGCATTCATTATACCCATCAAAACATTGGACATCTCTTCCATCATGGTAGTTGGATCCGATGTTCATTACTCTTGGGCCGTTTGGTGGGAGTCTAGGTGCAGCCGTCTGTGGGTGCATCATGGGTTGCATCATAGGTGGTTGGTTTGTTGATTGGATGAATCGTTGTTGTGGGTCAAAGCCTTGTGGTTGTCCTTGTGGCTGTGTTGCACAATCTCTGCTCCAGTGGCCTCTTCCTCCACATGTGAAACATGCACCGAATCCTTTATAAATCTCGGCCTTGGACCATTATAGCCTCTTCCTCTTCCTCTGAACTTAGAGAAACTGCGAGCGTATATTGCTGTTGGCGAAAATGTTTGTGGTGGTTGTTGCTGTGGTTGCATCACCGTCTTTATTGCGGTCAGCAATTGATTGGTGGTCACTGGTGCATCCCCATCAGCAGAGTCTTGTTGTACAGTCATCAGTCGAGAGGTTTTCTCCTTCTTGTCCTTGACCTCTTCTTGGAGTTTATGTAGTTGCAACTTCATAGTGGCCAGCTCAAGTTCCTGCTTCTTGGAGTCTGTTTCCTTCTTGTTATTAATCCACTTGGTCACATGATGATTGCAATGTGCATCAAAGTCTTCTTCAGTCTTAGTGTACAATCCCATCACTTCACTGAGGGCGTCTTGTATGGGTTTAGGCATACCTTTCACCAAGGCTGAGTAAAACATGACTGTCATTCCGGTGCCTGTTTGAATTGGCTCACCTGTAGCATCATGATATAGAGTTTTAGCTCGTTGTTTGTAGCTGTAGTAGTCTTCATCATTTTTCATCTGCAGGGACATGAGTTCATCCGTCAGAGTGCATGGATATCTCGTCTTCAGTTCTTCCTCCAATGCTTCACGGAACATCTGAATGGCAGCAGTCTTCCGTAGTGGTATTTTGATCTTCCTTCCAACTGCAGCTTCAATTCTTTCTGCGACTGTTTCATCTGCGGCTTTGGTCAGGGCGGCATGTATATCTCCCCAGCATAGTTTATCACCAGCAGTCTGTTTCATCAGGGCCCTCATCCAGGGCACTCCACCCTTCGTCAGCTTCGGTAGGGTGAGCATCAGAGAACTCCAGTCTTTCAGAGAGAATGGTTGATAAATCATCTGTTGATTTTCATTTGTCCTCAGTGGATAGATAGATGCGGAACGACTTGTTTTTTGTTCTTCTCCATACATGGGGTCAACAGTGCCATTTATGTAAGCCTCATTGAATTCATCAGCATCAATGATTCCTGTGAAAGATCCTGTTACCTCAAAAGGCTCTTTAACTTGCATATGCCTTCTTGTTTCTCTGGCTACGTCACCCCTTTCTTCTGTGGTTGGTCCTTGACTTCTCAGACAATCGGTCCCTCCAAACTCTCTTGAAGTCTCTACAATAGAAGTCAGAGCAGTCACCTGGTTTTGAATATCCTGGAGCCTCCTCTCTGTGTTGGAGGGTGGGCCAACTGGTGTCAAGGATAGCGCTCCTCCCATCACCTTGTGGGTCATCTGCGTTGGGGTTGTTCCTTTAGAAGAGATAACTGTGCTGGGTGTAGGATGATAAGGAGGGGGTTTTTTAGTCAAACGTAAATCATCATTGAATGAGATTAAGTCTTGAGTGGATGACGGATAATACAAAGTGCCCTGCAAAAGGGGAACATCTTTCAAGGTTTTGCGATTTATTTCTTTTTCTCATGTGAGTGGTCAGCTCTCTCCTTCCTTCGGGTGTGATCGACGGCCTCTCCTTTGATTTCTCCATCCCTCGATCCCTCTCTACTTCCTAATCTACTCCTCTCTCCCCCTCTCTCCTCCTCCTCCCTCCTCGATTTCTCTCTCTCTCTTATCTTCTCCCGTCCCTCTCCCGCTCTCTCCCTCTCCTCCTTCTTCTCGCCTCTCTTCTTCTCTCCATTTCTTCCTCATCCATCCTCCTCCCTCTCTCCCCTTCTTCTCCCTCTCCTCCTCTTCATCTCCATTCTCCTCCCTCCCACCTCCCTCATTCGATCCTCTCTCTCTCCTCCATTCTCAACTTCTGGAGGATCTGCTTCCCTCCTCCCTCCTGATTCCTCTCTCCCTCTCTTCACTCTCCCCCCCTCCTCCCCCCCCCCCCATGGTCCCCTCATCGACTCTCCTCACTTCCCTCCTCTCTCTCTCCCCTCTCCCTCACATCCCATCTCTCTCCCCTCTCTCTCTCGTCCCCTCCTCTCTCCTCCCTGCTCCCTCGCTTCTTCTCTCCCTCCATCTCTTCCTATCCGTAATCTTCATCCTCCTCTCTTCTCCTTCCTCTCTCCGTTCTCTCCCTTCTTCCTTCCTCTCTCTCCTCCCCCTTCCTCCCCTCTCTCCCTCCCTCTCTCCTCTCCGCTCCTCTCTCTCCCATCTTCACCTCTCTCCCCATTTCGTCTCTCCCCTTCTCTCCCCTCATCTCACTCTCCCATCGTCTCTCCTCCCCCCGTCTATACTCTCTCTCCCTCCCCCCCCCCCTCCTCTCCCCCCATCTCCTCCTCACCCTTTCTCTCCCTCTCTCGTCAGCTCACCTATGACCTTTCTCCTCTACTCATCCCTGCTCTCTCCTCACTCAGGCTCATCCTCACGTTAGTCCTCCCGCCTCCCCTCTCCTTCTCCTTCAGTAGCTCTCTCCTCATCTCCACCTCCTCTCCTTCTCCAATCCCCATCTTCTCTCTCCTCCTCCCTCTCTCCGTTCTCTTCTTCTCTCTCTCGCTCTCTCCCCACTTCTGTTCTCTCTCCTTCTCTTCTCATTCTCTCTTCTCTCCTTCTTTCCACTCTTCTCTCTCTCTTCCATCCTTTCCACTCTCTACACTCCTCTTCTCTTCCACTCCTCTCCTACTCCCTCCCTTCTACTCTCTCTCGTTCTTCCTCCCCCACCCTCACCTCTCCCTCCTCTTTCTCTCATACATCTCTGTCTCTCTCTCGCTCCTCTCTCTCTCCTCGTCCTCCTCAGGTCCTCTGCTCTCGGCTCTCCCTTCCTTCTCTCTCCCTCTCTCTTCAATCTCTCTCTGGTCTCCACCTTCCTCCCATCTCTCGTCCTCCATTCTTCTCCCCGATCCCTCTTCTCTACTCTTCTTCTTTCTCTCTTCATCTCAGTCTCCCCCTCTCCCCCTTCTCCCCACTCTTCTCTTTCTCTCTCTCTCCTCTTCCTCCCTCTCCTCCTCCCTCTCTTCCCTTCTCTCTCTTCCCTCTTCCTCCTCCTCCTCCCTCTCCGCCCCCCCTCTCCCCTCCCTCTCCTTCTCCTCCAATACCAATCTCAGTCCTCATCTCCTCCCTCCCTCTCTCTCCCTCCTCCTCTCCTCTATCTCCTCCCTCGTCCCCTCTCTCATCTCGTATCTCCTCCCGCCACGCTCACTCTCACTTCTACCTTTCACTCTCTCTTCTCCTCTCTCCGCCATTACCCCGCCCATCTCTCTCATCTTCTCTCTCTCGTCTCTCAACTCTATCCTCTCTCTCCCTCTCTCTCTCCTCTTCTTCTTTCCTACTTCCTTTTCTCTCTCCGCTCCTCTCTCTCACTCTCAGATCTCCTCTTCTCCTACTCCCTCTTTCTCGCTCCCCCCTCCCCCCCATCCCCGTCGTTCTTCGTCCTCCTCCCTCCCTCCCCTCCTCTCTCTCCTCCTCGCTCCCCCCCCCTCTCACCTCTCTCTCCCTCTCTTCCTCTCCTCCTTCCCTTCTTCACCTCCCCACTCCCTCTCTCTCTCCCCCAAAACTCATCTCCCATCTCCTCTCTCTCCCTTCTCTCGTCCTCTCTCCCCATTCCTACCCTACCACTCTTCAATCCCCGCTCCTCTCTTTCCCCTCTCGTCTCTGTTCTCAATCTCATCGCTCTCTCTCCTCTCTCTCTCCTCCTCTCTCTTCTCCGTCTCCTCTCTTCTCTCCCTCCCCTCTCTCGTCCTCCCTCGTCTCTCTCTCCTCCCCTCTCTCCTCTTCTCATCCATCCTCTCCTCTCTTCTCTTATCCCTCTCTCTCAATCGTCATCTCTCTCTCTCCTCCTCCCCTCTCTCTCATCTCTTCCCTCCTCTCGTCCTCTCTCCTCTTCTCCTCTCTCTCTCCTCTCCCCTCCTCTTCTCTCTCACTCATCTCTCTCTCCTACTCTCTCCTTTCTTCCTCTCTTCTCCATCTTCTCCTCTCTCCTCGTCCTCCACTCCCCCTTCTTCCTCCCCTCCCTCGTGCTTCTTCTCCTATCTCTCCCTCCTCCTTTCATCACTCCCCCTCCCTCACTCCTCCCTTCATCTCTCCTCTCTCTCCCTCTCGTCTCCGACTTCTACTCGTCCTCTCTCTACTCTCATCTCTCCTCGCTCTCATCTCTCCCTCCACCTCTCTCCTCCTCTCTCACAAATCCTCCTCTCCCTCCAATCCCTCTCTTCTCTCTCCTCACTTCCTCGTCCGTCCTCCTTTCATCATCCTCTTCTACATCCTCTCCTCTTCCTCTCTTCTTCTCTCCTCCTCCTCTCCTCCTCTCCTCTCCTCTATCTCCTCTTCTTCTCGGCCCTCCTCACCATCATCTTCTCACCTCTCCTTCCCTTCTCTCACTCTTCTCTCCTACTCTCCCCTCTCTCTTCCCCTCTCGTCTCTCCTCCCCTCACTCTCTCTCACTCTCTCTTCCATTTCTCACCATCTATCTCCTCTCCCTCCTGCTCTCCTCCTTCTATCTTCTTCTCTCCTCTATCCTCTCTCCTCTCTTCTCTCCTCCTCTCAACACTTCTCGCCTCGCTCCAATCTCCTCAGTCTCTCATCACCCATTTCCTACCTCCCTCGAGTCATATCCTGCTCTCTCTCTTCTCTCCCCATCGCCCTCCCCTCAGTCCCAAGAACCTTCCTCCTCTTCTCCTCCTCTCCTTCCTCTCTCCTTCTCCCTCCACTCCGTCCCTCCCACCTCTTCTCCCCACTTCCCTTCCCCTCTCCTCTCCTCTCCTCTCCCACCTCTCCAATATCAACTCTCCCCCTCTCCCATCTCGCTCCCCCTCTTTCTTCTCCATCCTTCCCCCCCCAGTCTCTCCCTCCTCATCTCCTCTACTATCTATATAAAAACAATAAACTAAACTATAATAATAAACTACTAAAACTTAATAAATTCCTCACTAATATACTCTTAACTAAATCTAAACTTATTCTAACTACTCTACTATCTACTCCTAATAACCTAAAGTCTTATAAAAATAATAAAAACAACTCTAAAAAAAATACCTACTAAATACTACTAACCTAACCCCCTCATCTCTCTCACCTCTCTCAGTCCCCTCTCTCCGACTCTCCCCGTCTCCTCTGTACTTTCTCCTCTCTGTCTCTTCTCCTTCTCACTTCCTTCGCACTCCTTCTCTTCTCTTCCCCTCCCCCCCCCGCCCTCTTTTCTCTCGCTCTCCTCTCCCGCTCTTCCTGCTCTCCTCTCCCTCCTCTCCTCTCCCGCTCTCTCTCCTTCTTCCTCCCTCCCTCTCCACTCTCCTCCCTCCCTCTCCTTCCTCTCTCTCCACTGTCCCCCCTCCCCCAACTCTCCCTCTCATTCTCTTCCTCTCGTCCTCTCCCTCTCCTCGCTACTTCTCTTCCTCTCTTCGCTCTCGATCGCTCCTCCATTACACAGATTCGGCCCCGTTTCCTCCCCTCCTCCCTCGCTCTTCCCCCCTCTCTCCATCTGTCCTATCCTCTCCTCTTCTCGTAACTCTCCACTCCTTCTCCTCCTCCCTCTCCTCCTAAGTATGTATAAGTATGTAATCTTTTATTTAAGTAACTGTACTCATCTTCTCTCACCTCCTCTCACACAGCTCCCTCTCCTCCGTCTCCTCCCTCTCTCTCTCTTTCCTTCCTCCTTTTTCCTTCTTCCTCTCCATTTCCCCCTCCTCTTCCTCTCCCTCTTTTATCCCCTCTTCCTACCTTTCTTTCCCCCCTCCTCTCCCTCTCTCTTCTATTCCCCTCTCTCCTCCTCCACTCTCTCCCTCCCCCACTCTTCCCCTTTCTCTCTCTCCTCCTACCACCACTCCCTTCTTCCCTCCCCTTCTCTCCTCTCTACCCCCCTGGTCCTCTCTTCCCCTCTCCCTTTCCTCCTCCCCCTCTCTTCCCTTCTCTTCCTCTCCTCCCCCTCTGCACCTTTCCTCCTTTTTTTACTTCCCCCTTCTTTCCTCATCCTTCCCCCTTCTTTCCCCTCCCCTCCCTCCTTCCTCTCCTTTCGTCTTTCACCCCTCTCCCCCCCACCCCCCTTCCCCCTCTTCTTTCCCCCTTCCTCCCGGGGGGGGGGGGGGTTTATATTGGTATAGGAGCAGGGGGGGGGGGGGTGGGGGTTGTATTGGGTTGAGGGATTGATATAAATTAAGTAGAACTATGAGAGTTGAAAAAAGTGGGAAAGGGGGAAAGAATGATTAGGAAAGGGGGTTGTGTTTAGGGGGATTCTGGGGGGGATGGGGGGGAGCTTTTAGTTGGGGAGGGGATATGGGGGGGTGGGGGGAATAAATAAAACAGGTCTGAGCGATTGTTGGTCTATCTGGATACTTATGATCTCTGGTTTGGTGATTTCTTGTTGTTCTGTCGTCTCTGGAAGCGTTAGGGAGGTAGGGGGGGGCGGGGGGGGGGGGGGGGGGGGGGATATTGGGAAGGGCTGTGTCGGGTTTGGGGGGGGTGTGTGGCTTGGGGGCGGTGTAAGTGGGGTTGGAGATTGGAGGTTGAGGGAAGGGGGAGGGGGGGGGGTCTAGAGAGGATGGGGTAGGGGGGGGGATAAGGGGGGGGGGGTAGAAGGGGTAGAGAGGGGTAGGTCATTGTATTTGGGGGGGGGGTGGGACTGGGGTGAGTTTTTATAAGGGAAAAGGGATGGTCTGGAAGAATGAGGGGGGGGGGTAGGGGATGGGGGGGGGGTAGAGGATGTTGGGGGGAATTGAGGGTAACAGGATGGGGCGGGGGGGGGGGGAATGTGCGGTGGTAGGCGATACAGGCAGGGAATTTGGAGCAGAGACTATAGATGGGGGGGACTTAGGTGCGGGGGAGTAGGGGCGTGCGAATTCGGGGCGGCAAAGAAAGTCGGAATGGGTCGGGACGGCGTGGTTGCAATTATGGGGTGGGGGTGCAGCTATCTGGAATGAGGGAAAGGAAGGTTGTATCGGTGGGTCGACAGGAATTTGATTGGTGGCGGGGTGGTCTATGTCCGTATGGGGGGGTAGGGTTTTCCTTTAGATGGCAGGAGAGAGAAGGGAACGACTGAACACCAGGAGGGGGATATTGGGAGGGTAGCGGGTGATCGAGAGGTATTTGTTCTATTGAGGTTTTGGGGGGGGTTGGCTCTTGGAGGGGCGGGTGTGGGGGGTAGTTTGAGATTGGTATGGGGGGGGGGTGCTGTGGTAGGGGGGGGGGGTCTCCACAAGGGGGGGTGGGGTTTGATCACGGGGGTTAGGGGGGAGTGGGTTGGGGTAGTATTAGGGAGCGAGGGAGGTTTCTTGTGGGTGTAAGGGGTTGGTGGTCGGGCAGCGGGGGGGGGGGAATTCGTTATGGTAATGGAGTAGGGGCTTTCTGCACGATGGATGGGGGTAGATGGGTGGAGGGATTGTTTGGGTTGGGATTGTGGTAGCGACTTTGGATTGGGGGCTGGGGGTGTGAATATGCGAGGTATTTAAAGATTTGGGGAGGGGGTATTTCCTGTTGTGAAGGGTGTACGGGAATATTGGGGTATGGGACCTTTGTGGTGTTTTTTATTGATATATTCGTTGGTTCGACAGGGGATCGGTTGCATCATGGGTCTTGGTTTTTGGTATTTGTGTTGGCTGGATCGTGGTCGGATGTATGGGGTTATGGTTTATTAGGGGGTGGTTTCGTGGGTGGCGGGGGGGGGGTCTTATGGGGGTTGTTGATAGGAGATAGGGCGGACATGGGGGGGTTGGGGGGTTAGGGTGGAATTCGTTGGAGGTGATGGGGATGTAGCTTTCTACGTTTGAGGGAGAAGAAAATTGCGGGTCTGGTAAACGTTGAGTAAAGGGGGGAACTACTATGTGGGAATGAAAGGGGAGTAAGTGTACGAGGGGTGGGGGGATGTGGGGGATATATCAGTTATGGATATGTGCTGGGTAAGGGGGGACTTCTGGTTATGTGGGGTGTGAGGGGGGGGTATATCTGATTAGGAGGGTTTGGTTGGGAAAGTCGGCGTGAATTCTGGTACTTATGTTATTTTGTGGGTAGTTGTGTTGGGGGGGTCTGGGTGTCTTATGGGGCGGGGGGGGGGGAGGCGGGGTTCGGGGGGTAGGGCAGGGATGAGGGGAATGGTGTCTGGGGGATTACTTATGGAGGGGGAAGCGAATGAGGTGGATGAGGGGGGGGTCAGGTGAAGGGGGTCGTAACTTAACACACAGATGATGGTTGGAAGAGAGAGGGGGGGGGGGGAAGAATATTGATGGGAATATGGGGGGGAATCGGGTAATGAGTAGGGGGGGTGGGGTAGGTTGGTTGATCTTGTGTGGGGGGGGGGGTAAGAATATTCAAATGGAGGAAGGAGGGGGGCAGGGGGGTTGTTAAATGTGGTGAGGCGATATTCACTAAGGATGTTGTTTGAGTGGTAGGGGGGTGGTTGAAGGGGGGGGGGGGTAATGTTTGTGGGGGTGATGGGTAAATGTTTGAGGGGGGGGTTTAGGGGGGGGTTGAAGGTGTAGGGGGGGGGTGAGGGGTAGGGGGTATTGGTGGGGAATGAGGGGGCGGGGGAGGGGGGGGGGGTAGGGAGATGAGGTGAGATAAAATATTTAAGTCGGTATGGTGGGGGGTAGAGAGAATTTGCTGGGGGGGAGGGGAGAGGGGAGTGAGGGGGGGTGGGAGGGGAGAGGGGGAAGTGTGAAGGGGTAGGGGTAGGTGGGCCGGAGGGGGGGAAGGGGATTGGGAGGGAGACTGGGAAGTGGAAGAATGGAGGGGATAGAGCAGAATTGTAATGTGAATATTGGGCGATTGGTGATGATAAATAGGAGGGTTATAATTTTGGTGGGTGAGTTGGGGTGGTCTGTGTCGCAATGGTGAGGGGGGGGACAAATATGGGGTTTGGGATGGGGGGATGATATTGGTACTGATTGTGAGGTTGGGTGGGTGGATATATTGGATAATGGTGGTTTTAGGGTTGTGTAAGAGGAGTTTTGTTTCTTGTTGTGAGAGTTAGTGTATGTTTTTGTGATGGGTGTTTTGTGAATTTGGCGATGTTGGTTGCTTGGACGGGTCAGTTTCCTTGGGGCACAGATGGACGTCTTTTGGAGGAGTATGGGTGAATGGATGTTTCAAAGAGTGTTTATGGGGGTCACTGTCTTGGGATGTGGGGATGAGGGTAAAACCTTATGATTTGGTGGGGGTTTTTTCTTTGGGTTTTCAGTGGAACACTAAGTATAGGTTGGCGGTAGTTGGTTGTGGATTGTTGGGTGGGGGGGGATTGGGGGGGGGGGGGGATGGCGGGGTGGGGAGTTGGGGATTATGGGGTATGAGGGAGGGGAGGGGTGGGGGTTTGAAGATGGCAGAAATTATGTCATGGGGAGGTTGTGCAGAGGGGATGGTTTGAATTTATATATGTCGGGGGGAAAATTTAACTGGAGGGGGTGGGGGGGGGGGGGGTGGGAAGGGGGGTGGTTGTTGGAGGGGAGGGGGTGGGGTGATCGTGGGTGGGGGGAGGGGGAAGAAGGGGAAGGGTGGGAATGAGGAGGTTGTGACGAAGTGATTAGCACGGGAAGGTGTGATATAGATGTAACAGGGGTTCATACTGTTCGTAAGACTGAATCATTTATTGGGATTTAGAGGATAATGTTAGTTGTAGTAGGGGGGGGGGGGGGGGGGGGGGGGGGGGGGATGTTTTTAGGTGGGATAGAGTGTTGGTATGAGGGGGGTGGGAAATGGAAATATACCGGATAGCTGGGGGTAATTCTCTCTTAGTACAGGGGGGATTCTCATCCTGAATGAAGGGAGACAGGATTTCACTTATAGCATGAAGATCATAGCGAGTGTGAATTTTCAGACGATTACTAAACGGGGTAGATGTTTAGTATGAGGTGTCTACTGGGATAGGTGGCACAGATAGACGAAGGGGGCTTCGTGATGAGCCTGCGTAGTATGCACACTGATTATCTTATTACTATAACGGTGTTTAGCTCAGCACGTGGGCATATAAGACTTAGAGGCATTAAGAGCACTTTTGCTAGGCATGTGAGAGTGCACACGTCTCGGTGGGGGAAGTGATGGGGGGGACAATAGGTCAGAATGGGTGAGAACAGGACGAGACCGGCGGCTCACCGACTCACGATCTGTGTGGGACGGCACATCGCTGGCACATCGCGCAAAGTTGAGAGAGCCAAGAGATCTTTATATGCAGGGCGCAACTACATAAGCGCGATAGTTGGGATTGATTGCATTGTCACGTGTGCTATGTATTGTTGCTGAGGATCAAACTTGGAGAGCAGAGTCATGAGACACCTAAATACATGGAAACAGTAGACCAAGGGAGCTCCTCAATACACTTCTTGACCCTCCAAACTCTAGATTCCGATAGGGGTTATAGGTCCGTCACAGAACAAAGCTGACAGTAGAGAATCTCAGTATCAGATGATGAGGACACTATCGACTAGCATCTGGTAGTGGAGTCTCACGTGATCACCCACAGCTAGGGTACATTCAGAGACTCGCACTTGGTAGAGGGATGGAGAGCAGACAGGCACGACATGATAGAAATGATTGTAGTGTGAGTGCACAGTGTGGCTTCCAGATGGGGGGACGTGTGTCTAGACTAGCAAAACGTCTAACGACCAAGAGACGATATGGTCAGATTAACAAACACACAGATACAGCTACGTATATTGTGGTGCTTTAGCTATATAATACTGGCAGGAGAGGTAGGGGACAACAGGGGAGAAACATTATATCTATAGGATGAGCTATATATGAGGCTGTTGTGCGCCTCCTGGACTCAAGGGGTTTAGGGCGGAGTTGAGCGCGCGTCAGCCAACAGGGGGATAGGACGAGTAGTCACGCAAGAAGTGATAATCCGCATCTGAGATGGAGAATGTAGACAATATTACAGACTACACCAAGGGGACAACTGAGAGATAGGAAGCTGGACGCAAAAAATCAGCAAATGTCGTTTGCATATGAGCCATGATAGTGGGGGGGGTGGGGGGTAGGGAGTGGGGCAGGGTGGAGGGGAGAGTAGATGTGATACGGACGGGATATTTCTAGTAATTGATGGGGGGGGGGGGGAGATGGTTGGGACATATGTACATGCCTCGAGAGTGTACCGCGAAGACAACTCGATCTTACGTATGTGGACACGGTTAGACTAGTATGGTGAACAATCTTGTAAATGACATTATTAAAAATAATATAGATATCAAATGGGGGGATACTGATAATATGGGTCGCGTGTGGGGTGGTATAGTGTGTGTTCTATGTGTGAGAGTTGATGGACAGGAGTTTGATATATCATATGACGGCTGGAAGGCGTTTTAGCTGATGGATGTGAGCAGGCGGGGGAGTTTTTGGTTGGGGGATTGTATTATGGGATCGGACGGAAACTGTGGATATAGGGCTGAGAGATGCAGTATGAATACGGAGTGTAGATGGGCGTTGTGAGGGATGGTGGGGGGGTAGAGTTTAAATGATAGTAACTCAAATTTATGTAGATGGGGGTCTAGAGGGGATGGGATGGGGGCGATTTTGGGGGTGGGTTGTGTAATTAGATCTGTTTACATAATGGATTGTTGGCGGTTGAAGTGTGTTTCGGATGTTTGGGGGGGATTTGGGTGGGGGGGGGGGGGGACAATGGGGTGAAAGGGTTTATTGGGGTGGGGGTTGGTGGTTGGTTGTGGGGGGAGCGATGGGGGGAGGGGGGAGGGGACCATTTTGATGGGACGATTTGTGAGGGGTGAGAGTGTTGGTTGTTGGGAGGGATAATGGGTGTGCGAGGTTGTGAGGGGAGAAAGGGAGGTGAGAGGGGAAGTAAAAAGAGGGGTGAAAAGATAGGGGAGTGAGGAGAGGGGGGGGAGAGATAGGACAAATTGAGGGGGTTGGTGGGGGGGGTGGGGGGGGGGGGGGGGGTAGGGGTAGGGGGGTGGAGGTGGGGGTGTTGAGAGGGAGGGGGGGTTAGAGGTTGTGTGGGGGGGGGGGAATGTATTGTCTATAATGAGGGGTGATTGGGGTAGGGGAAGTGTCGTGGGGTAAGAAAATGGATGTTAGGTAGTGTAGAAAGATATGATGTTAAGTAAAGTGGTGGGGAGGGGGGGGGTATGGAGGGTAGTCACTGGTTGTGGTGTTGGAGCGTATTGGTTGGTTGGGGGGGTTAGAGGAGTCTCGTCAGGCACTGTTCGGATCTCTATTATATCGTGGATATCTTGCGAACGGGGGGGGTGTGATGTTGTGGACAGAGTGGGGGGGGAGGTGGTAGGGTCGTGCCTGATGTAGGGGAACTGGTACGTATGTGTATGCAGGGGAGGGCTGATGGTGGCCTAAGGGATCTCTACTGGTGAGTGATGAGGGTGGTAGTGGCCTCTTGACACGTATCTTTTAAGGGGTTATTGTGATTAGGTGAAGGGGCGGGAAGGGGGTGTGTAATAAGCATATATCTGTGTCGGGGGAGGGGGAGGGGAGTGGGGGGTAGTTACGACTCCCGTCTGAAGTGTGTGGGAGGGGGGGAGGGGTGGGGGTAGCGGCGCTGTCCACACACACATAGCGTCAGGAAGGCGGGGGGGGAGGCGTCTGGGGTGGTGGAGAACAAAGGAGTGGGTATAGCGCGAGGGACAGCGTCACGCGGAGGGCGTGGGTCACTGCTCAGCGATCAACAAGCAGGTCGCTCTGTCCTCTGTTGTAAGGCCGGGGGGGTAGTCTTATTCCATGAGAATCCCCAGGAAAGGCGCTGACACATATTGGTCTCGACTTAGCGAGGGGGGATGGGGGGGGGGAGTTTTGTAATGGGGTGGGATAGTCAAGGATGTGTCAGAGCGTTAATGGTTTACCTACACCCTGCTATGGTAGGGGATGGAAGAGGGCACACCGCCTGGAAATGGCAAGGAGGATTGTATGATGGAACATGAAACGAATCTCAATACGTGTGAGAATGGTAGGCAGCAAATCTGGGGGGACGAGCCAGGGATGGAGGGGAGAAATGTCAGATTTGGAGTTGTATAGAGGGAATTGGGTGGTGGGGGATAAGGAGATGTGATTATTTGTTATATGGGTTGACTATCTCTATCTCAGGACGTCTCGGTGCGGACAGCGTGCGGCAAGAAAGAAAAATAGGGAAGGAGAAGGAGCGCCCACATATTGAGAAATACACTATCATATCTACTACACACTTGTATTATCCTTCTCATTGAGTCGCGCGACGAGGTATGGTTCAGGCGGGTTGGCTGTGGGCAACAAGATGTGGGGAGGGTGGAGGGGGCTCTCATGATACTCTCACGAATAAGCAGTGTCAGACTGCAGCGTCACAACATTCACTCTCTTATCAATATCGAGTTAGGTTAATCCTGTCCCATGTCTCATTTTCATCCATTGATCTTGGCAACGCCCACAGTGTGAAGAATGGCATAGCGCGCGAATGACCGGTCTGTTCCATAGAGTACATTGAGTAGTTAGTGGATGGGTGGTGGGGTGGGGGGGGGGGGGGCGGGCGGGGGGGGGGGGGGGGGGGGGGGGGAGTAGTGGTTGTATTGGGGGTGGGGAAGCAGAGGGGGTGAGGTTATCTCAACAGGTGGGACATGAGTGTAAGAATTGTAATAGTATAATGACATGGGGGATAGGGGCGAGGAAAAGAGTTTCGATATAGTGGGGAGGGGACTTGTGGGGGTATGCAAGGGACAGTGATATTGGGGTGTGGATGGGTCTTTGGGGGGGGGTGAGGGGGTGGTTGGTAGGGGGGTGGCATGGTGGGCAGGGAAGTTTGGGTGGGTTGGAAGGTTGGTGGGGCGGTGAGAGGACTATGGGGAATGGAGGGGGGGGCGTTTCGTCTTTTGGATGGGGGATATATTTGGATTTTTGGGGGGGGAGTTGGATTGGAGGGGGGGTTTTTTAGGGGGTTTTTTGGTGATTAGTAATATTTGGGGATTTATTTGGATAGATATTATGTATGGTAAATTAAGAGAGGCGGGAGATGGTGCTATATTATCTGATATACTGTTAAGAGAGTGAGAGATGGTGTATATTATCGTATATGTAGAGGACAGGGGAGATGGGGTATGTAATCTACCTATGCTCTCCAAACTAGTCACATCTAAGATACAATCTTTGGTATCTCTCTTTGTCACTGCCACTCAACCACGTGTAGAAAGCCAAGGTCTGCATCTGAGGTGAAGGCTGTGGAAAGACCTGACACCTGCATACAGACTGGAAAGGTCCCCTGGGAGTCACTGCCTGGTGAGCGCATAGGAGCGGCACTCAGCAGTTGGTGATACCCAAGCACTTTACTACGTTACATAGTAACCAGATGACCTTCGCGAAACACACCGGGAGAGGAGCGACAGAGGAAGTTATAGCTCTAGTCATCTCACACACACACACACAAGTTCTAATTTTCGAACTCGAATTAAGGTGCATTGTAGCGATACACAAAAATACAGTGAACAGGGCACAAGCAATCTAGAAAGGATCAACAATATTGCCTTTAAAGCGTCTTTCGGAGTTAGTAGGATACACTACAAAATCCTATTCTAGTCACCTGTTAGTATCTTAAGATATACATCTAGCACAATTACGATCGATGTATCCCAACATCACACAGAGGGTGCAAGATAGGGGGGGAGAATGATCTCGAGATGTATTGGGTTCACAGCACATCGAGGACAATGCGAGGTGTCCCCTATGGGGGTTGCGGAGATGGGCGGTGACCCTTCCAGGGGTTAACAAACGGAAAGCGACTGTATATTTAGTGGGTTGGTGATTGGAGTGTTGGTACATGATGTGTGTGTGTGTAGAGACACACGAACACATAAGGAGGGAGGATGTGTTATTGAGTGTGTAAGGTGGTGGTGTGTCTATTGGCATCATAACTACATATGTATTAAACCTGTTGGGATAGCATCATCTACACGATTATCTCTGTGGAACATCGCTATTGTACAATACCACACACTTTATACGTATTTAGCTCTATTAAGCGAGACAGACACTCACGCAGTATCCAGGCCAGGTAATGGGGTATTTGGAGAGATCTCAAAGGGCACTATGTATGTGTTGAAATGGTGACGCTTGGTCATTATTCTGTGTGTGAGTAGGTGCAAAGCTGAGATATGAGAGGTGGGTTGTACTTAGTCCATCTGAGGTTGTGATGTTAGTTATGGGTATATGGGGGTGAGTATATCTAGTTATAGTTGTGTATCTTTTATATAGGTGTGATCTATTGGAGCCGTATGGACGTTATACAGGTCTGGTAGTTGCTTGTCTTATGACAAGGATAGGCGTCATTGAGGGGTGGATATAAGTCTGTATTCTTGTGTGTGGGGGGGGGGAGTAGGGGGGGGGGGGAAGTATGGATTGGTTTTATAGATGGATGGAGATGGAATATGAGTATGGGGGGGTATAGTGAAAAGGTTTTTTTTATTTTGGAGGGTGAGTGGGTTGTGTGGGAAGGTTTGTGGGTTGGGGGGGGGGTTGGGTGGGGGGTGGATGTAGATTTGGTTTGTTGGGATGTGTTATGGGATTTGTTGGGGGGGGGGGGTGGGTGGGTGTGTTTTTGGTTGTTTTGGTGGTTAGGTGTATGGGGGGGAGGGGTAAGTTATGTAGGATGTGGGTTTTAGGGAGGGGGTTTATTTGTTGGTGTTTTTATGAGGGGGGTTGTGTTGGGGGTTGGGGAGTTTTGGGGATGGTTTGGGTAGGATAGGTATAGGGTAGTTGGTATTGGTAGGAGGGGTTATTATGGGGGAAGTGGGGGGGGGATGGAATGATTTGTTTGGCGAGTGTGTGAGGGGGTGATTTTTTGTGTGGCGATTTCAAGGGTCGTCCGTCGTGGTTACAGTATGAGTGTTCATCTCTATTCAGAGGGTTTAAATTACTGTGGCGAACACACGTAGCTTACGATAGAACACAATGTTCCATTACTGTCATCACAACAAACTACAACGTTCTTATTATATCCAGGATGCATATTTGTGACATCTCATTAGGTAGCTGTTGCACAGCTAAAAGGTCGCGACTGTGTTAGACCGTATTGGGGTGCCCAAACTTCAACTCTAAGACACACATACAGGTGCACATCTACTACAGCCACTTTTGGGGGGGGGGAACAGGGGTAAGGGGAGAAATAAAGAAAGCGTAAGGGGGGGGAATGGTGAGGGTGGGCTCTGGGTAAATTGGTATTGGGGGGGGGGGTTTTGAGTATGGGAGAGGGGGGGAGGGGGGGGGGAGAAGTTGGTGTGTTGGGGTTGTAAGATGGATAAATTTGGTTAGATGTGGTGTGAAGGGTGGGAGAATGGGTGAATGGGGTGGGGGGGGGGAGATGACGAGGGGAGGTGATGGAATCGTATTTAAGGGGGGGGTGGTAGGGAAGAGGTGGGGGAGGGGGGGGGGGGGGGGGGGGGGTTTTTTTTTTGGAAGAGGGGTGTTGGGATTATGGGGGTTTTGGGAAGGGTGGGGGGGGGGGTTGGGGAACAGCTGTGGGTTAATGATTGATGTGACAGAGCTTTATAGAGGGAGGGACTAGGTGGGTCATGATAAAGAATTAGTTGTATTAACTCTTTCATCCGTTTACACGGGGTTGGGGTGGTTTGGGGGGGGGGAGTTTTGGGGTTATGTTAGTTATCTTTAAAGGGTATTTTCAAATTAGAAGGTGTGGTCACTGCAGGATATAGGTAGTATATGTGGTGTGGGGGTCATGGGCGGGGTATATTTGAGTGTGACAGACAATTATGATCTAAGATATGGGGGAATAGTGTACTCACATGAGAGAGCGGGGGTGACGCTGTATCAAAAGAATTTTTGGAGTGGCGAGACATTGTGGTGTTCGAGGGAGGGTCGAGCGCGTCGCATACGGAGAGGGGACTAAGGGGCGTGTGGAGGTACTTCGAACGGTGGGCAGTGATGTGGAGCGTAGAGTGGGGAGTACGAGACTGGAGTGTGGAGGAACTGCTTGTGATTATGTGGGGGGGTGGAATATATATATATATATATATAGGGTTGGAGGTGTTGGATGGGAATGGGGGGGGGGGGGGGGGTGGGGTGGGGGTTGGTGGGGGGGATGGGGGGGGGGGGGGGGGGGGGGGTGTGGTGGGAGGACGAGAGAGCGGTTAATGTGGGAGGGGGGTCGGGAGAGGGTGTGAGAGTGGATATGGGATTGGGTATTGCATAGGGTATGGGGGTGGCGGGAGAACATTAACAGGGAAAGTTAGTTAGGGTTGAATGAGATAATTTTTAAGTGCGAACACAAACACCAGGCAAGGAGGCAGGGCAAGGCAATAGGTAAGTAGCAGTCACAGTGTATAACGGAGACAAAGGCAAGACGAGCAGTGGGGGAAGACGATGACAAGTGAGGGGGGAGGGGGGGGGTAAGAGGTTAGGAATGCTAATTTGGGGTGTGAGGGTTGTCTATAAGCACCGTGTAGAGGACATGGGGGGGGGGGATCTAGGAGGGCGGTGAGAAAGGCAGAGAATGGACATTGTAGAGAAGGATTTGTGAGAAGTGAGAAGTGGGGTCGAATCCAGTAAGAGGGGTAGATCTTGATAAAAACACAGGGCAGGAATCTAGGAGAATGTAACATTATGGGCGAAGCATTCTTGGGGGAGACTTGATTAGGTGGGGTTGTCAGGCAGTTGGGGGGGGTTGTGGTTGGGGGGGGTGGTGTGAGGCAGGCGAAAGAAGGGAGAGGGGTGCAGGTCAAGTTCAAAGGAGGGGGGTGGGAGGTGTGCGAGCAGGGTTATTGTAGGTTAAGCACGTATGGGGGTGTGAGGGAGACATAGGTGGCAGGGTGTGCTCGATGAGGAGACAGAGTGTTGGGAGTGGTGGGGTCTGCGGATAGGGAGAGGATAGTGAAGTGATAGAAGAATGTAGGGTACGAAAGGAGCGATAGATGATGGTTGGGGATTGTGAGGTGGGGTGTGGGGTGTAAGGACAGTGGGGAGAAGGAGGGGACGGAGGGGGGATTCACGTTGGGGTCGAGCACGGTATCGTGATGCTGGAATCCGTGGTGGAGTGGGCGCTGGGTAGGTGGAAGGGAAAGGGAGGTGCACATAAGCGCGGGACGGGGGGAGGTAAGATGGGCAGAGGAAGGGAAGGGCGCGGGGCTTAGGGGGGAGCGATGTCGGGATTTAGTAGGGGAGGGGTATGGAGGAGCAAGAATACGGGAGGCAGGGGGGGGGGGGCAGAGGGTACGGGCTAGGGTTTAGTCAAGGGTAGGGAGGAGAGGAGTGGTCACGAGTGCGTTAAGGATTGGGGCAGTAGGGGGGGGTGAGCGAGTAGTGAGGCAAAGGAGGTAGTGGGACGGGCAGGGGTAAGAAGCAAGAGGGTTTAGCCGGGGTGGCAGACGGGCAGAGGGGGAAGGCTAGGGGATGGTTAAGACATAGTGTGTAAGGCAGCCTGGGGGACGAAGGGGAGGGGGGAGCAGTTTAATTTTAGGTAATGTAACGAGGAACTTGGTGGATAGCTGCAGTAATGGTATGGTGTAATGTAATTGTGTGTAATGTAAGTGATGTAAATGTCTACAATTTATAGCGTGGCGGGGGTGGTGGGTGGGAATTGAAATGAGATAAGAAGGGGCGGGGGGGGGGGGGGGTGATGCAAGGGAGGGGGTAGGCAACAATGAGTTTATTTTTTTTTTAATTTTGTGTTTCGTTGGTGGGTTATTGTGGATTATTTATTAAGCTTGGAGCGGAAGAACGGGGGAAGGGGAAAACTTGGGGAAGATAGGTAAATGGGCATGGCGGATAATGTGGAATGTGAGGGCAATTGGGGTGGTCGCTGGGAGCGATTTGGTTTGTGGTGGGGGGAGGGGATGGAGGGGGGTTAGTGATGAAGGGGGTCGAGGGTTTAAATGTGACAGTACACTATGGGGAACTGGGTAGGAATAATAGGAGGCTATATATATAGTCTGAGTGTAGGTAATAGCATACAGATGATTTAGCAGTGAGTCTTGGGGGAGGGAATTTACACAGCGGGAGATGGGGTTTAATGAATTGTACTGGTGGGCGCTGCGCAACCTGAGTGGATGCTAACTGGAGTGGGGGGAGTTTATGTGCGTTGAGGAGGTATCCAAGGTGGAAATGGGAGATTGGGGGCAGACCGGGCCACCTGGCAGGTAAAAAGTTCATGAGCAGGAAGAAAAGTGTGAGGAAATGCCATGTTACTTGCGGGGAGAGCAGAGGGATGTGAGGAGGGGAGAGGACCCGCAAGGGATGTCATCTCTTTGTATTTGTATTTCTTCTCTGGTAAATAATACACTTTTGTCGGGGTATGGTCCTCTCTCGATGAGGGAGGGGGGTGTTACTTGAGGTCGGCATTGGGGGCGGGGTAGTCTGTGGGCGAGTGTTGGGAGCATGGGATGTGGACGTCTCAGCGGTTTTGGATCCGACAGAGAGGGGAGGAGAGGGGTAGTCTACGTCATCGAAAACGTCAGGTTCGGCTACAGAAGCCGATGATCTTGGAGTATGACGAGGGGTTGATGCGGGGGGGGCGGGCGACTGTTGTAGTAACAATACATGACTTGCTAAGAGATAGTGTATAGGGATAAGGGCGGGGAAAGACGAATAGGGGGGATGAATAGGGGGAGGAGCCAGGATAAACTTCATGGGGGTCTGCCCCATATCTCCAGTGGTGACTCGTGGTCGGCAAATGACTTTTGACAGGGATAAGGGGATGGGGAGAAGGGGTTTTGGGGGCAGTATGGAGCGATAGAGTTCACCTCTTCTCCATCACACACCCCATGGAAAACTCCCAAACCCTCTCTAGACCAGTTAGCGGCGGATTTTCTGATTGGGGGGTTTTACAGGGGGAGAGGGGTGAAGAGGGAAGTTATCTATAGTATAAGCGCGGGGGGAGATGGAGAGGGGTTGGTTAGGGGTGGTTGGTCTACAGTGTGTTGGTAGGGGAGTGGTGGAGCGGTGGCTCGTGGTGAGTGGGGTGCTTTGACGAAAACGAGGGCGTGGGGTAGGTTGTTTTGGGGCTGAGGAGGTTCGAGTGGGCTTGATCTTCTCTCGGGCGGTGGGGGGGCATCGCGGCGGGCGTCCTCTTCAGGTGTCAGTACGATATTGTTTAGGGGGAGGGTACTTCGGGAAGGGAGGTGGATGGAAGATCTCTCCGCATGGGGTGGCGTGGGGGGTCTACTGGTTATAAACGGTGCGTAACAGGGATATGGGGTTGCTGGTAAAGGTTCTTCTGGGGTAAGGAGTAGTTCACCTAATTTTTGCTCTCCGACAAGTGGGGTGCTATGAGAGGGTTGTTGATTACTAGGCTGGTGCTTCTATGGTTGAAATCTAATTGCTCCTTTTGTTCGGAGGTTTTGTCATTTGGGTGTGGATCTGCTTGATTTTATTCAGGTTTACCGGAGGGTGTGGCTTATATGAACAAATAAGTGGTTTTTACTGGTTTTAGGGGGGGTAGTGGAGGGCTATCAAGGGGGAGGGAATAGCTGGTATTGAGGACAGTTTTGGAGGTATGTGGGGGGGAGGTGCGGGGGATTGGATTATGATGATGGGGGTAGTATTAGTTGCGGGCAATACAGGTTGTCCAGGAGGGTTCTGAGTATTACTTTCGACGGGCGGGGACTGGGGTCTTTTAGGGGTTGAGTTGGGACGTTGGGGGGGGGGGACACGTTTTAGACTTATCTTGCGGGGGGGGATGGACAGTGAATATTGGGGGGGTAGCATAAGGGGGAAGACTAAGTAAAGGGATCTAGTATCTATTTTTCCCTCAACGGCGTGTAATCAGGAGGTCGGAAAATCAAATGGGAATGGGGGTTAGGCGTCAGAGAAAGGGGGATGACAAAGGAGGTATAAGAAGATCGGTAAAAATCAAACATGGGGGGCCTGTGAATCGAAGGAATGCGTCGGGGCACGGGGATGAAAACGATAGAAGGATATAGTCGCTACTCGCGGAATTTCGATACTACTCCGGAGTGAGGCTAGAAATCGTGCGGTCCAAGTGGGAGGGGGGGTGTAACTGATTGCAATGGTTCATGTAATTTGAAGCACTTAGCGTGGAATGGGTTGCTCTTTAAGGTAGGTTTGGAGAGAGACTATGGGCCATCAGTCAGGGATGTTAACAGACTATCATTACCAGTAACCACCTTTTACTGTTAGGCTCTTCTTTATAGAGGGGGATTGGGATGACTGTTTGACCTTGCACCTGACTTCTATAGTCTGGGCGAGTCGAGTGTTCAATGAGCGTTCTCGGTGCGTATCTGGGCACGTTTGTACGTATAACATATGTGGATAGATGGCGGTGGATAAATTAATTTTCTCAGATGGATTATTCGAAATCGGGGTACCGACCATCGACTGTTCTGACGCGTGTTGAGGGTGCTGGTGACGGGTCGGTGTGTGAGAGGTTGGTTTGATGGGGATACATTTTATCAAGGGGAAGAATGCCAAAGGTAGGCCAACGAGGAACCCTCAAATAGGGTTATGGGGGTTTTCTCTGGGGGCAGATTATTTCTGGGAAGTGAAACCGCTGCGGGGTGGTCAATTAGGGGTATGTTGCTGTCGGGGAGTGCGGAGGTCTTCAGGGGGGAGGGAGGCAGGGGAAAAGGCGAGGTAGGGGGGGTATGAGATAGGGGAGATAGTTTTTTTTTATGGTATGGGGGATGGGGGAGAGAGTTTTTTATTGTGGGGGTATGTAATGTTTGGGAGATGGAAATAAAAGGGGGGGTATATAGTTGTGTTGGGGTTTGGAGTTATAACGGTTAAGATGATATAATTGTTGAGATGTTGGTAGATGTTTGGTTGGGGGGTTTGAATAGTTTGGGGAGAATGGTTATAGAAATTAGGGATGAGGGGAGGGGGGGGGTGTGGGGGTTGGGGGGGGATATGATAGGAGAGGGTTGGTAGGGGTAGGATATTATTTTTTAGGGTGGATGTGTGTTGGAAGTGGATTGGGTGGGTGGAAATGTTAATTTGGATTTGGTGGTTAATAATTTTTGGGGGGGTGTGGGAGAATTATATGTAGGGGGGGGAGATTTTGGTGGGTTTGTGAGTTGGGGTGTTTTGGGGGGAATTTTTTGGTAATGGTGTGGGTTATGATAGTATTGTTTATGGGAAGTGTGTTTGGTGTTTTTTGGGGTGGGGGGGGGGTCGGAATTGATTTTGGATGATTGGGGGGGTTTGTTTTTGTGGGTTATGGAAGGATGGTGCAGTATGGAGTTGTTTGAGGGAGGAGTGGGGTGGAGGTTGGTGTTGGGGGGGTGTTTGTGGTGGGGGGGGAGATTTGGTAAGAAGGAGGTTAGGTTCGGTTAAGGCGGATTGATTTTGCCCCTGTGGTGGACGAATGGAGCTCATCATCTTAAGGTAATGTACTTGTGATCTAATATGAAATGTGATATAGTATTTACATGTAAAGGTTTGTACAGAAGATATAACAACGTCTTGTGGTTTAGGGACCCCCAGAAATGAGTTACAGTGCCTGCGAAATGATATTCGGCCACCCTTGAACCATTTCAACATTGTGCCACATTTCAGGCTTCAAACATTAATGATATACAATTTTAATGTTTGTCATGAATCAACAGAAAAGTGGGACACAATCGAGAAGTGGACCAACATTTATTGGATAAGTTAAACTTTTTTTCACAAATAAAAAACTGAAAAAAAAGGGGCTGGCAATTGTATTCGGTCCCCTTAACTTTCAGTGCAGCAAACTCACTCCAGAAGTTCAGAGCATTGAGGATTCTTTGAATAGCCAATGTGTCCTAAATGACTGATGAGATAAATAGAATGCACTGTGTTAATCAAGCTCCGTATAAATGCACCGGCTCTATTGGATAGTCTCAGGGTTCTGTTTATAGCGCAGAGAGAACCATGAAGACAAAGGAACACACCAGGCAGGTCCGAGATATGTTTGTGGAGTAAGTTTTAAAGCCGGATTTGGATACAAATAGAATTTCCCTAACTTTAAAAACATCTCAGGAGCACTGTGCAAGCAGTATATTGAAATGAATATCAGACCACTGCAAATCTAAACCAGACCCCGCCGTCCCGCTAACTTCATCTCAAACAAGGAGAAGACGGAGCAGAGATGCAGCCAAGAGGCCCAATGATCATTCTGGATGAACATGCAGATAACTACATCTGAGAGGGAGAGTCTGTCCATAGGACAACAATCTGTCGTGCCACTGCACAAATCTGGCCTTTATGAAGAGGGCAAAAGAAAAGAACATTTCTCAAAGATATCCATAAAAAGTCCTCGTTAAAGTGGGCCACAAGCCACCTGGGAGACCACCACACATGTGAAGAGGTGCTCTGGTCAGATGAAACCATAATTGAACTTGTTGGACCACAATGAAAAACGATGTTTTTTGGCTAAAAGCAACACAGCTCATACACCCTGAACACACCATCCCCACTGTCAAACTGTGTGGCAGCCATCATCAGACAAGCGGTTTGGCCCTCAGGCTTTTCTTACAGCAGCGCGGGACCCAGGGAACAGGACTCGCGCTTCGTTAGTAATTGAGACTGGAAGTATCATAGCGATGCGCACAAAGCCTAAATCACAGTGACCATATCTGGAAGTAAAAAACCTGTCTATAGTATGTTCCAGTGCGCCACCTCTAAAGTACCCCTATGAGGATGCGCGGCGTCAGACCGTCTGTGAGAATCCTAATCGCCCCCGCAACCCCAGACAAATGATCCCAAACACCAACTACCACAGCCAGTAAATACCCTACACGACGACGGAGCGAAGAATGATGTATCACCCAAGAGACCGTTTCCCAAGAGTGGATAGTGAGCGTAATCAGGCCCCACAAGGATCCCAAGAGCTCCTGAATAGCGGGATTCATAAAGAGAGACATCGTGCGAGATTCTGGCGCAACGTCTCGCCGTTCTCTAAAGGCCTCTCCCACCCTTGACACGCAACGGACCTACCGACGCTGCCTATCTCTGCTAGGAAAGTATGGGAAGATATTCCAGTAGAGCGTTGGGCAAAACTGAAAGACATAACCCAAGCGACTTGCACGGTAATTGTCACGCATAAGTGGAGATACAAAGATGAGCGCAATGGGGGCCGAAGATTTTTGCACGCCCCACTTGGGCAGTGTTTTGGTGTTTGTTTAAAATTGTTTAAATTATCCCACCGCACCACAAAGATATAGCGGTTAGTTGGGGCACACTCGCCTCGCCGTCGGGCTGTCCACCGCACTCTGCTGTCTGTGGTCGGGACGCTTGGTGATTCTTTGACTTAAAATACACCATTCTGGATATTAGAGGCCAGACATGCGGTTTCCGAACTGACAAGGATTAGGGCCGGTCGATTACGGGGTGGGATCACAACGGGCGGGCTGTCGGGTCAGCAACTGGGCGGGGCCAACTAATCTTGTCCCCATCGATCTGGGTATTAAAGATTTCATAGATGGTAACGGGAATTTTGGGGAGACGCAGTTTAAAGTATGTTAGTGTAATCAAGGGGGCCTATCGGATTCGGGTAATGTGCATGATAAGTCAACTAGTATGACATTTACGAGGGTTTGGGTGGCGTGCGAGCGATCAGGATAAAGTGGGGTATTAAATGACGGTGGGTGATTTGTTAAGGTGATCGCATCTAGGGTACGGGTGTGAGTTACATGCAACGGATGAACAACTGTGGGGATAGGGGGTGTATTTCACGTGGGTGTGGTAATGGCGGAAGTTAGGTATGGAGTTTGAGATATTGCAATAAAGATCGGGGGGGGAAAACTAGGGTTGTAGAAGATGAATAATTGTAGTGGGTATGTTGGGTGGGGGGTTGTGATGTGGGGTTTCTAATGGACAGCTGCCCGGGAGAGACGAGCGAGGGGTGAGATATCTAATCGAAGGGGGTCATTTCGGGTGGTTAGAGCGGGGAGTCTAGCTATATCAGATGGCTTGACTTGATAGTCGGGTTTGGGGGTGAGTTGTGTGTTTTAGCGTGAGTTGATCAGTGTCATTATAGAGGTGGTGGTAGTGTGGGTTCGCTATGGGGGTTTATGAGAGTCATGTCATCGGTTTTTGAGGTGGAGAGTGTTCACTTGGGGATGGTAGTTGGGTGGGAATGGTGTTGTCAACATATAAATGGGCTATTATTGGGTGTGCAAATATAGAAGTTGATGAATGGTGGGGTTACAGGGGTGGAGTAGAGAAAGGGTGTTGTTATGAGTGCATATGGATGGTACTGAGGGAGTCTCTACTGGGAGGGATGAGAATTGAAGAATGGGGGCTGGATGATGCCATCTGTTTTCGTGGGGGATATGGGGATAACGAACATGGAGATGGAAATGAAAATGTGGGGGGGGAGTGGGTCAAAAGAGGGGGGGGTGGACGCGGAAAGCGGGGGGAAAGGCGGGAGATGAAGGGGACAGGGGAGCGGAAGCGGGGAAGGTAGATGGCGCGGCGAGGAATAGGGGGGTAGGGGTATAGGGGGGGGTTGGTTAGTGGGATACGGCGTAGAGGGATTAGTGGTGAGAGAGGAATCTGGAAGGAGAGGTCTGGAGTCGTGTTCGGGGGCCGAACAGGGAAATGAGGGGGGGGGAACTAAGGGATCCATAAGGGAGGTTATGGGGGACACGTATGATGTTGTGGAGGGAAACGGTGGTGGGGGGTGGTGGGTGAGGTAACGGTGTAAAGGGGGTGGGTGTAGGTGGGTGGAGTATGTAAAGGTGGGTGGGAGGAATAGGCTGCTAGGAGGGTGATAAGGCTGAAGATAGGCGTCGTGATCAGGGGAAAGGGCTAGTGGTCGGTGGCAGGGGAGTCAAATCATGGCTAGATGGGGAGAAGTAAATTGCTATGATGGGGTGGAGGAGATTTGAGGTGGCGGGAAGTAATGAGAGGTCCACGAGTAGGGGAGGTAAGATGCTGGGGTTAGGGTGGGGGAGGACTTCACATCCCGTTGTAGTTGGGTGTGAGGGAGTTGGCCGTGGGGAGTTAATGATATACGTGGTCGAGGTAACATGTGGTAGGTGGTGTAGGAGTAGGGTGATTAATCTTATATGGTGGGGGGTTGGGAGTAGAGTGTTAGGGGTGGGTGAAGGTCTCAATTATGTACGGGGGTGGATAGGTAAATTGTAGTGTGGGCTTATGAACGGGTGGTAGGTGGGTGCATATGTTTAGTGAGGGGGATACTCACAGTGCAGGTGGGGGTTAAGAGCAGAAGGGTGGAGGTGGGCGTTGAGACAACAGGGTGGACGTGGGTTGAGGCAAAGCTTGGAGGATGGTTACCGCGGGGGAGGGTGAATAGGTGGGGGTTCGGAGAGAAGGCTGGAGTGATGGGGTTGCTGAGGACAAAGGGTGAGGGTGAGGGTTGAGAAGGGTTGGACACAAGGTGGTTGAGAAGGTGGAGGGCGAGGGATAGAGGAAGGTTAGATAGGTGTTGATTAGAGAGAAGGTCGGACACGATGGTTGACAAGGGTTGAGTGGGTCTGAGGAAGCTGGAGCGGTGCTTCTGGAGAATAAATGTATGAGGGGATGGGTGAGGGTAACAGAGGTTCGAGGAGATGAGTCAAGGTGGGGAGTGGTGAGGTGGTGAGGAAAGGTGGAGGGTGTGGACGGATAAGCGCTAGGTGCAGCCGGTGGCGAGGAGAGACCAGGGTGGGGAAGCAGAGGGGGTTGGAGGGCAAGGGTGTAAGGGCTGAGGGGTAAGGAGAAGGGTGTAGGGTGGGGTGAGGAACACATGTAGGGGGAGCGGGGAGGAAGGTCTTAGGGGTGGGGATAAGGGGGGACAGTGGAGCGGTGGGTTGAGGAAGGGTTGAAGGGTTCTGTGAGAGCAAGGGGTGACTGGCGGGGCAGTAAATCTGTTAGGGGGCTGGGGTGATAAATATGTCAGGTGGGGGTGAGGAAGCTGTGGTGGAGGAATGTACTAATGGGTCAGGGTTGGAGGGTGACTAATCTCTCGTAGTGGGGGGGAAAGTAAAGCAGTGTGAATGTAGGTTGGGTGAGTAAGAGTGGTGATAGGTTGGGGGGTGAGAAGAGGTGTTCTTAAAGGGATGGCGTGACAAGGTGAGTGGTGGGGGTGAGGAAGGTTGTAGGTGGGTGGAGGGACACAGGTGGAGGTGGGGTGACGGTTACGGTGGAGGGCTGGGGGCGGAGCGAAGCGTGGAGGGGAGTGTGGATGACGGCACAGTCGGTGGACGGAGTGGGGTTAGAACGGTCTGGGGAGGCTGGGTGGCCAACGCAAGGTAGAAACGTTGGCGTGAGGAAGGGGGATTTAGGCGGGTGGGGGTTGATCAGGAAGTCACAATAGCAGCTGCGGGTCCGAGAGGCAAGATCAGGAGGTGGGGTATGCGTGAAAGGGTGGAGGGGGTGGTGAGGAAGGTTTAGCAGCTCGTAGCGGTGATACATGTAAAGGATGTATGTGGGTGGGGGTAGGAGACAGGTGTAGGTGCGGGTTTAGACGGGAAGGGTGGGTTACAGGGATGGGGTGGGATGAATAAATTCCGTTGACATGCTGGAGTAGACACATTGTTATATGCGGCTCTGTACCAGTAATTGTGTAGGGTATTGTTGTATACTTAGCGTTGGGATGGGGACGCAGGGGTTACTCTTATAGGGAGTTTTACATGTGGGTGTATTTTGGGGGGGGGGTGCGGCAGGCTGGATGATCTTCCGTGGGGCTGGTACATAGGTTATTTTAGAGGGTTGTTTGGGGGCAGAGGGGGACGTTACACTGGGTTCATTGGTGTACTGGGGTTATATGGATAGAGGTGTTTGATGGGAGTTATAAGTGACATGTCACAATAAAGTACACAGTAACTAGGGGGAATGAGGATTTGGATACTGTTTGGCTATTTTTCAAGGTGGTCGACAATGGTCTGGTCGATCTATGTGGGGGGGGGAGTCTCTTTGATGGTCGGGTGGGAGAGCTGTTGGTTGTTGGGGTGGATAGTTTTTTTGCTTTTGGTGATGGGTGTTGTTTAGTAAGCGGTCGCGTCTGGTATATCTAGTTTTTGTATGGTTTCGGGGGGGGGGAGCAGGTGGGGATATTATGTTTTGGTATGGTATATGATATAGGGGAGGGGGGGGGGGAATTTTATTGCGGGAGGAGGGTTTAATATGTGTATATTTGCTATGGGGTGGTGGGTTATAGGGGGGGGAAGATAGGTGGTATGGTGGTGGTGGGGGATGCTGAGGGATTTGGTTATATGTATAATAGAGGGGGTAGTTGTGAGTGTTTGTGTTTTTGGGGTTAGGGTTGGTTGTGGTAGGTCTTATTTGTATTGGGAAGGGAGTATAGGAATGGGCGTATAGTATTGTATTTGTATAACGGGTGGTTATAATGGGCGCTATAGTGCGGGGGGTATTATGAGGGGAAGGTGGGGAAATATGCGGATTGGGCGGGTTGCGATGGGAGGGATTTAGGGGGTCAAGGGGGGGGGTAGATACCCCCGTCCGGCACGAATTCTCGAGTTTGTCTTGGGGCAGTTGTATTCGTGATGGTGTGCCGGGGGGGGGTGGGGGATCATGATATGTTGAGAGCCAGGGGGCAGGGGTGGGGGGGGTGACCCTCGGGGGTGGCGTGGGAATGTGCGTGCGGCGAGTTGGAATCTTCTTGGGGGTGGGGGTGGACATTGTGGTTGCAAGGGGGAGTGTTATGATTGGGGGGAGGGTTGGATCTGTAGGATTGTGTTGTGCGGGGGGGGGTGGATGGGGAGAGATGTAATGAGGGGGATTTACTGGATGGATTTATGGGGTGGGTTTTGTTAATGAGATTGGGGGATATGGGGGGGGGGGGAATATATGGTTGGTTGTTTAATAGGGTTGAGGTTTTGGTAATTTTAGGGGTGAAGGGTTTGAGATAGGTGAGGTGGTTGGAGGGGGGGGTTTTTGTGATATGCGTAAGGGTCTAGGTTGGGGTTGGGGAAAATAATAAAATTAGTTGGAATTGAATGGAAGGATGGATTGGGAGGGGATGTTTATGGTTGATAGAGGGGGGGAGGGGGGGAGGAGGGGGGGGGAAGGGGAATGAGTTGGGGTTTGGGAGAGGCTTAGGGGTGTGTGAATGAGGTTGGAGTGAAGAGGGTTGTTGTTTTGGGGGTTGGTGGGAAGTATGGGTATTTTTTCATGAGATGGGGTAAGGGAGATAGAGATGATGGGGGTTATAGTTTAGATGAGAATATGGAAGGAAGAGGTATGGGGTGTGGTGGAAAGAAAAAAGGAGGGATGGGGGTGGTGAGAGGGGGGGGAGGGGGGGTGGGGTGATAGGGGGATGAGTATGGATGATGTGGGGGGGGAATTACGGTATATTCTATGGGAGTATGGGAGATTGTTGGGGTGGTAAGGGGGGGATTGGGGGGATACAGATTGGATGTAGGATGTTGTGGGTGTGGATAGGGGGAGTGTTGGGCTGAGTCGGCTGGGTGTGGTCTGGGAGAGTAATGTCTGGTGAAGTCGGGGGGTGAATAGTTTTGAGGGGGTGTGTTAGTCTGGGTATTTGTTGGGGATGGAGGAGGTTTTGATTGGTTTGTGGAATGGATGTGTGACGAGAGATAATTATTATAAGTGTGGGGGGGGTGGGTTTTGTTGGTGTGTGTGGAGTTTGGGGGGTTGGGATGGTTGGGGGGGGGGGAGGTGGGGTTTATTGGTAATGAAAGTGGGTATAGAAGAGGCTGGGAAGGGGGGGGGGTATATGGGGTTTAAGTTGGTTGGGGGGGGTTAGGGGAAGTTTGAAAAGGAATATGTATGTAGGGATGTTGAAGGGGGGTGTGTAGGAGGTGGGGGAGGTAGATGGGTGGAAGGGGGGGTTACAAAAGGGGAATGTGGGGTGGAATGGATGTGGGAGTGGGGAGGGAAGGTGGGATAGGCAGGGTGTGGATGGGGGGAGGAAGTTGTTATAGTATATTGATGATATAGGGGGGTATGATGGGGGTGGGGGGGGAATGAGAGAATGGGTATGGGGGGGGGGGTGGGGGGGATAAACTTGGGAAGGGGGGTGTGGTAGGAATAGGGTTGAGGGGGGGGGAGTTGGAAGTAGGGAAAGGGAGTTGGTGGTTATGTTATATGGTAGGTGGAAGATAAGGGGGTTGGTGGAAGGGTATTGTGTGTGAATTAGAAAAATGTTGGTATAGGAAATGTAGTAGGAATGAGGGGGGAGGGAGAGGGAGAGGTACTATATATGCAGAACGGCCTTCTCGGTGGTGGGGGGAATGACTACTTCGGCGGTCATCGTTATTGGGATATAGGTTTACTCACTACGCTAGTAAAGTCGTTACAGGAGATGTCAGTCATCAGCGTTTGTCGCGGGCTACGCGACCATGGTTGCTGCATGCTAAGGGCTGACCATAAAAATTGTGACATTTGGAGCAGAGTCTGTAGTTTCCCTCCATGTTTTGGGTAAGAGCCCCCTGTTGACGATTTGAGAGACATGCGAATCAAAATATATATGCAGTATTAATCGTCACAACGCTTGCCTAGGATATTTCGCGAGAATATTGTAATCCTCACAACTTTTTGGCCATAGTCCCCACTCCTACTGGCCATACACCATACCCACCACAACCACCAAGCAACGAGCGTTAATGTGAATTGTGCAATCACATACAAGGCATTGCACTAATTGCGCTTTTATTTCTAGATGTTTGCACGTGCTCAAAAAGGACGCAGTTCCACCTATTACAAAATTGAACAATTGGATCAATAGGCACCAACTTTTAGGACAACAAGTGTATAAAATGGCTTAACATAAAGGCGGTACTTGGCGCTTAAGGTGTAAAAATCGCTTTAATATAAGGCTAGTAATTTGCTTAATCTATTAATCTTCGTAAAGTGAGTTATCTTTGTAAGCTCCAGATATAACGGTATCAGTGTGTGTTTGTTTTGATCTTGGTTCTTAATCCACAGCGATCAGCTACTGGAGCTATCATACTTCACTGAGCGGTATCGTAGTGCATGTTCTGCTCATGACTTGGGGAGGAGTGGCGGGATTTATACAGTCTAAGGTTTCAACTGGGAGAACTTTTGGTGCGGTGGGTATGGTAGTTCCTATTACCGAAGCAAGAATTAACCTTGAAGGCTTAGTGTCCGGGTAGATGCGTGTGGGTTCGTGGGTGTCTGCCTCAGTGGTTCAGGGTGGAGGGCGTACTTGGTGATAATGATACCGCACCCAGGGTGGTTATATTCCACCGGCCTCATCAGGGTCTAATGGCCGGTGAGTAACGGTTTGGTATGGTCAGGTGTGTAGTCGGATGATGGATAATAACCCATGTCCGGGCGGCGGCCATACGTGGTGTTGCGCTCTCGGCGGGATAATGGTGTATTGTATGTGTATGCGGGGTGGCAGAGGTCGAATGATGTTAAGTACTGGCGGCCCTAATGCGGTGGGGGGCATGGTGATTGTTTGAGTGTCCAGACTCTATACATGTGGGTAACTATCTAAGCGGTTTCGATTGGGGGTATTGATTGGAGTGATATTGGACTATAGTATGAGGTCGAAACGGGCGTCAAGTCAGTAAACAGAGGGAGGTGTCCTGTGCTGCGTGTGGTGGTAACAGACACCGTCGAGAACAGAAGCCAATGGCTCGCGCACAGAATAGATGCTAAGAAAGATGATCAAGGGAACAGAAAAGTGTGGAGAAGGTACGATACAAGCAGGCAGATTGTAGAGAAAGCTGAATAATGGGTAGTAGACAAGATGTAGATGCTAGAGAACGGATGGAGAAGGTAAGACAAGATGACGATGGTAAGCAAGATGAAGATGGTAGTCGAAAGACATGAAAGATGGGGGGGTAGATGAAGATAAGATGTCAAGCACAAAGATGCAAGAGGCTAAGGAGAAAGATGAAAACATGGTGAGGAGTAAAGACATGAGACAGTGGGTAGAGGACAAAGAATTGAAGAATGGGAGAGCAGACAATAATGGTAAGATGTAAGAGAAAGATGGAATAGAAGGGGAAGAAAGTCGAGAGGTGGAGATAAAGAATGGAGAGGGCCAAGATAACAGAGTGTAGGAGGGGAGATAAAAGATCTTGAGATGCTAGAGAAATGCAGAGGGACGGCGAACGAAAGGATGAGGTAGGGGAGGATAAAGATTGTAGATTAGAGAGAGATGAAGATGGTCATCACACAGACAAGTACTAAACCTATTACCATTAAAAAAAAGAATGATGAAGATGCGCTATAGGAGAGACGATGGAGATAGGTTAGTTAACACAGATGGACATGGGAGAATAAAAGGGATGGGCGCACACATGGGGGGGAAGAGAAAAGGATGTAGATAGGTAGAGAAAGATGAAGATGTAGGGAATAAATAGATCTGAAGATGGTAGGAGAAAGACTGAAATGGTAGAGAAAGATGAAGATGGTAGAGTCAAATAGAATGTCCGAAGAGGTAGAGACGAACCTATGGAGAGGGGCGAGGGAGGAAGAATACACTAGACACGCGTAATGGTAAGCATGTATAGATGGTAAGCGATAGAGTTCAGTATGAGTAGACGGAAGATAATGTAAGGAAAAGATGATCATGGGTAGAGCCTTAAGATGGTAGATGGCGTAGGTAGCGACACAAGATGTAGTAATGCTCAAGGATCACGACAGGATTAGATGGTAGACTACAGATTAGAGATTGCTCACGACGGAAAGATGTCATGGTAAGTAGGAAGATCAGATTTGGTTCTCAAGGAAGATGTCAATGGGTAAGGAAGATGGAGATGGTAGAAATGCATGGGGGCACAGGGTTGACAATAGATGGGAGATGGAGGGGAACAGTTGGGAGTGGGGGGGGGGGGGAGGAGAAAGATGGAGAGGGGAGCCAGAAAGATGGAGAAGGGGTCGTGACGAGAAAGATGGGGCGAGGGGGAGGCGGAGAAAGAGGAGACAAGGATGGAGTCACGAGGGGACAGTAGAAGATGGGCGGAGGGGAGGAGAAAGATAGGAGAAATATCGCTGGGCACAGACGGGGGCAGGTTATTCTCTTTATTATTAAGAGATGCGAGCAGGGGGGGATAGGGGAGAAAAAGATAAGAAAAAGGGGGGGAAGTCAACGTATTAGGGGAGAAGATAGATGGCAAGGGGGAGAAAGAAAGATGGAGAGGGCGGGAGAAGAGAAAGATTGCGAAATGGGGTGAAGACAAGAATGGAGATGTGAGCAAAAGATGACGATGCGTGAAGAAGAAGATCGGCACGAGGGGGGAGAGAAAGATGGGAGATCACGCACTCTGGCAGAGTGGAGGGCAGAAAGATGGAGGGGGGGAATCAGAAGACGGTTTCAAGGGGTTTATGGGGTTGTCTTGGGCGGGGAATATATACTAGGAAATAAGGGAGGCAGGGGAACGATAGTGAAAAGCGGATGCTATAGTGAAGTTGGGTATTCAGGCTTCTGGTTGGGATATGGGTTGTAAAAGGGGGAACTGATGGGGGGGGAAAGAAATATGAGGAAGGAAAATGACGGACAAAAATGGAACTGATGGAAGGGATGAACTCCAAAAGTCGTATTGTTTGGGGAATAAACAAAAAATTGGGGGAAAGAATTACGAGGGGAGGACGTTCGACGGGGGGTGGGATATGGGGGGTAAGCGGGAAAGAGGAGATATAGTGGACTGCTGGGGTATTGTGTGAGATGGTAGGATCCAGGTTGGATGGATACGGTGGTGGAGTAGTATAAGGGGGCTATAATCGGATGGAGGGGACGTAGAGGGGTAGTGTCTGATTAGGGGAGATCTTAGGGGTGTAGGGGGGGGTCGATAGGGATTGGAAGAGATAGCGGGGGTTGTGGTATCGTGGCTGTTTGCTTGGTGGGTAAAGAGATTGTTGTTCTTAGCGTACAAAGTTCGCGGGGGGGTAGGTAGGTGAGTGCGAGTGGCTTGAATGGGGATTTATGGGGGAGACAGTGTTGAGGGGGGGGTGGGTGGGATAGTGTGTGACAAAAAGGATGGGGGGGGGGGGGGGGGTGGGGGGAGGTGGGTGTTGATATCGTGGAGAAAGGAGGGATGGGTTTCAGAGGAGAATGGTACAATACGAAGGCAGTGGTAAGTGGGAAGGACGGGGACGTTTGAGGTCGGATGCGGGGGGGTATATAGGGTTGTCAGCGGTTGGCGTGGGTATATGGGTTCTTAATGAGGGGCGGGGAGGTCAATAAAGACGCAAATTGGGGGGTGGTGGGGGGGTTGGGTGTTTTAGTATCAGGGGGGGGATTCCTGGGGGATTATGTTATTAGCGGGCCTTATTAGGTTGGATAGAGTTATTTTGGGGGGGGGGGGGGGAGTGGGGGTAGGGAAGTAGGAGAGGGAACGGGGGGGGGTTTAGGGGGGGGAGGGTTTTTTATGTGGGGTTGTGAGGAGTATGGGGGGTTCGGTAGGGGGGGGGAGGGTGTCATGCGCGGGGGGGCAACGGGACTTTGGGGGGTTGTATGAACAAAGGGGGTTAAGGGATTACTGTGGAGAATATGGCGAGCCGGAGGATTTAAGTGTGGCGGTGTGTTCTTGGGTGGGGTGGGGGGGGATTGGGTGATTTTCACCTGGGGCGGGGTATATTGCAGGGGGGGGGTTGGGGGGTTATTTTGGGTGGGGGGGGGTGTTGGGTTTCAGGGGCTTATTTTCATTTAGTCTTGGGGGGAGGGGAGGGGGGATTGTGGTGCGGCAGCCACAAAAAAGGAGAGAGGTCGGAAAAGGGGCGGGGGGATCAGACATAAGTGGGGGGGAGGGGGATTGGATATGGGGACTTGGGAGAGCGGGCGGGCTGGGGCGGAGAGTTAGCTGGGGGAAATCATTGCGAGGTGGCTTATGGGGGGGGTTGCAGGGAATGCGACGGAAGGATTTTATGACGATCGAATGGGGGGGTGGGGGGGTTGGGCTTAAGCGGCGCGGTCTAAGGGATGGACAGGATGGAGAGGGAATATTGCAGAGGGAGGTGGTTGACTAGGAGGGTAGGGCGGTCAGGGGGGGGGAATGAGTAGTTATATTGCGGGTGCGGCTAGGGAGGTAGGGGGAGAGGTTAAATGTTAATGAGGTTCATGGGGGGGGAGCAGTCGGGCGGCGGGGGGGAATGTGGGAAGGGGCGGGTCTTGTGCGTTGAGGAGAAGGGGGGGGAAATGAGCATGCCCCGAGCGCGCCGGGGGGATGTAGAATTACTGGGGGTACAGGAATCGTTTTGGGGCGACAGGTGGGCCGGGACGAATCAATGCCGGATCGAAATGAGTGGGCGTGGGGAAAGAGGGCAAGGGGAATGAGGGGTAGGGTTGTTCTTGGGACCGGAAACTCTAATGGTGACAGGCCGCCAGGAATAACTTAAGGGGGGGGGTAACTCTCGGGCCGAGAGGGTGGGCGGGGGGGATAGTAGTGGAGGGGGGAGGGGTACGAATTATATGTGAGGTGGCGGTGGACATGGGGGGGAATTAATTTGAGGATTGGGCGGTGGCGCGGACTAGAGCTAATGCTGATGTAAGGATGTGCACTATGGGTGCGCGCGGGCGGAGAAATGAGGGAGGGCGGATTAGGGTTTAGGTTAGGGGGGGGTGTGTGAGAGGGTGGGGGGGCTGTTTGAGGAGAGGTAGGAGTGCAATAGAGGAATGTTTGGATGTGGGAGATGGGGGATTACGTAGGGGGGGTGGGGGGGGGAAGTGGGTATGTCTAAGAAAATAAGATGTGGGTGGGTGAGGATGCGATGAATGTGTGTCGATGTGGGGAATATCGTCTCTAGACAGGGGGGGAGGATCGAAGGTGATGGAAGCGCGTACAGAAGGTCGGGAGGTGTGGTTTGCGGGGGGTGGGGTAGGAAGATCGGGGAGACATCTGGGCGGGGTCTGGGGTGATGCGGGGAATGTGTAGCACAAGATGGGACAGATTTGGGGTAGGGGATCTGGGAAAGGGCTCTGTGGGGTTTGAGGGCGGGGTTTATTGCAGGGGCGGCTGAATCTGACGGACTGCTTTAGCGAGAATATTCATGTGAGAAAGGTCCTAATAGAAGGGTGCCTCGGCGGAAGGGGGGGAGGATATGGCGGAGCAGAGAGTACGGGTTTTTATGTTAAAGGTCGGTAGTGATCTGCTGATGGGAAGGGTGTAGGTGTAGGGTGGTCTATATATGGGGATGGGAGTGGTGATGATGATGATCGGGCGGGGGCTGGGTATGATTATGGGGGGGTAAGGGATTTCTGGGTGAAGACAGGGATTATAGGACAGGTGGGGGTGGGGGAGGGATAGGTATGGGTTGCGGGGGAATTGTGTCGTTAGGGGAAAAACGAACATTGCTGAGGGGATGGGGGTGGGTGGGGGTTTTGTGGGTCACTGTAATGCTGGGGGGCAATTAGGATATGTAGGGGGGGGGGGGAAACATAGGGGGCGGGGGGGGGTAGGACATGTCTATTTATCTGTGAGATTCTGGGGTGTGTGATGGTTCGGGTGTTCTGAAGTATTGGGGGGATTTTGGCGTTTGGGGATTGGGGGGAAGGGGGGTTGTAGGAAGGGGGGGGGATTCGGGGGATAGGGGTTTGATGGGGAGGGGGGGGGGGGGGGGAAATTCTAATATTGTTAGGGGTGAGAGGGGGGATTAATGGCAGTATGGGTTTGTAGCTGATTTGTGTTGTTGTTACTTGTATCTCGTGGTGTCGGTCCGGGGGGGGGGTGAAGGTGGGAGGACAATTTTAGCGGGGGTTGTTGGGGGATGGGGGGGATGATGATGGGTATGGGTGGATGTTTGGGTTGGGGGTGGTTTTGGGGGGCTATATTTTTGTGTTTGGGTTGATTTGGTGCGTTGAAGGTTATGTCAGTGGTTGGAGTGGTGTTAAGGGTCAGAATTAGGGCTGATGTTGGGTTTTCTCCCGTTTTGGTTGGTATCTGTGGGGGGGACGGTAGGGTGAGGTTTGGGGGGTGAGGGGGGTAGTTCCAAAAGGGGATATTGGGGGGCATCTTAAGGTTTAGGTCTTTTTTTTTTTTATGTATGTGGGGTGGGGTGGGGGAGCGGGGAGTATGAGTGAAGGGATGCGGGGGGGTATGGGGTGGGACTTGTTGGTGGGTTTGTGATATGGGGTGAAGTTTTTTAGGAGGGGGGGGGGGGAGGCCGGGGGGGGGGTCGGAGGGGGGGGCGGGGGGGGAGGCAAGAGATTAAGGGGGGGGGGGGGTATAAATGGGTCTGGGGGGGGGGCGAAGGGAAGCAGAGAGACAAACGAATGGGGTAGAGCTTGGAGAGTGTATGATGGGAGGCGGGGGGGGGGGGTAGATGAGGGGGGATGTGACGCGGATGGGGGCTTAGAATGATTCAGAGATTATAATAGAAAATGAAGGATGGGGGGTGGGGGGGGAGGGGGGACAATGAGTTGGTGGATTTGCGTTTGGGATGGCTGGTATTGGCAGGGGTGTGGTGGGTGGGGGGTTGTGGGGATGGGGGGGGGGTGAGGGTACTGGTGAGGTGGGGGGGGGTTCTGGGGGGGGGGTTGGTTAGGCAGGGGAAGGTTTCATGGGGGGGTCGGCGGGTTGCATGGTATGATGGGAAGGGGGGGGGGGTGGGGGGTGGCTTATTGGTAGGAATTGATATCGAAAATTAATAGAACATGGAGAGTGAATACAAATGGTGGGGACAAGGGGGGGAAGATGGATTAGGGAAAGGGGGTGTGGTTACTGGGGATTTGGGCATGGGGGGGCGGCTAGTTGGGAAGGGGGGGATCATGGGGGCGGTGAGAGAGAGGGTTCGTTTGTGGGTATTATGATTGTTTTGTTTGGGTGTTTGTTGTTGGGTGGGTGGTGGGTATAGGGGGGGAGGTAGGATGGGGGGGGGGATATTTGGATAGGGTGTGGGTTCTGGGGGGGTTTGTGGGTTTCGGGGGGTGGGGTGTAAGGGTGGCGGTCGGGGTAGGTGGGGGGGTTTAGTTGGAATGGGAGGGGGGCGGGGGTAAGAGAGATGGTAGAGGGGGGATTAAGGGGTGGAGGGGGGGAGGGGATGGGTGGTATGGGATGCCTATTTGGTGGGGGGGGTGAGGGTGGAGGTGTTGGGACAGGGAAAAGATGGTTGGAGAGATAGGGGGGGCGTAGGGGGGGATGGGGGTAGGGGATGGGGAACATGGCGAATTGAAGTAACGGAAGGGGGGGGGCGGAAAAAAAAATGTGGTGTGGTATTTTCAGGGGAGGGCGAAATGGTGAGTAGATAAACGATGGCGGGGCAATTAGGGGGGGCGTACGGGGGGGGAATGGAGGCAGATGGAAGGGGGTGAAAGGGTTGTTAATTATGGGGGTGGGGGGTGTGACTGGGAAAGGATGCTATGTGGGAAAGGAATTTGATTGGGGGGTGGTGTTTTATGTTGGTATGGGTCGGGGTACAATATGGGTAGGGGCACAGAGGAGATGCAAAAGGATTGCGGGACATTCGCTGGGTTGGGGTGAATGGGAGCTAATGTGTTAATGGTTGGGGGGTTGGTTGGGGGCGGGGGTGGGTTGAGATTGGGTATGGGGGGGGGGGTTGTCTGTGGGGGGTGAATGGGGGGGGGGGTGGGGTTTGGAGGGGGTGGGGAGGTGTCTGGGGTAGATAGGGGGGAGGAGGTTTTTGGGTATTGGTTGGGTGGTGGGGGGGGAAGAGTGTATTGTAAGGTAGGGTTGAGGAATGGATGGGTATAGGGGTAGGGATTGGTTTGTGGGGGTTGTGGTGGGATTGGGATTGGGGTGGGGTGTGATAATGGGGATGTATTTGATAAGATCTTGGGAAGGGTATTTGGGTGTTGTGTGAAGGGTCGGAGAAATATGTGGGGTATGGGATTTTGTGTTGTTTTTATTGATATATTGTTGGTTGAGGGGTTGGTTGATATGGGATCGTTTTGGGGGGTATTTGTGTTTTGACTGGGCGGGGGGGGGGGGGGGGTGGATTGTGTTTATGTTAGGGGGGTAAGGGTTGGGTTATGGGGTGTTGATGAAGGGAAACCTCTATGGGGATGGTTCGCTCGTTGGAATGTGGGGTAGGGGATGTTAGGGTTGAGAGGGGAAGAAAAATGGGGGGGGTGGAGATATAGCGGGATAATGAATGTGAATGGGAAAGGGAGAAGATGGTGGAGGTGGGGGGGGGGGACTGTGGGGGGGGGATAGTTATGGATATGGGTGGGGGGGTAAGGGGGGGGAGGTAAATGTGGGGTGTAGGGTATAATTGGTATGTCGGAGGGGGAGGGTTTGTAGGAAGAGAGGGGTGAATGTTTTTTGTGTATTTATGGGGGTAATGTGTATGGGGGGGGGATGGGTTATGGGGGGGGGGAGGCGGGGGGGGTGAGGGGGGGGGGGTGGGGAGGATGGAGGAAATTTGAGGGGGGATTATTATGCGGAGGGAGGGGAATGAGGGGTGGGTGAGGGTAGGGGGGGAAGGGTTAATGGGGGTAAGGGGGATTATGGGGTTGGGAAGAGGGAGAGTGGGGGGGGGGGGTAATAATGGTGATGGGAATATGGGGGGGGGGAATGCGGGGGGTAATGATTATGGCGGGGTTGGGGGGTAGGTTGGGTTGATGGTGTGTGTGTGCAGCATGTCCGAGTACCAGATGGGGAAGAAGAGGACACTGGAGCGGAAGGACTGCCGCAAGCCGCATTGAGGGGGAGCCAGTACTGGCTCATCTCACCAGAGTCCAAGCTGTGCAACTACTCCGTGTGTTCGACAACGTCCCCTCTCTGTTCGCTGCCAACCCGGGGAAGACGACTCTGGTGGAGCATGTCATTCGGCTAAAGGAGGGCCGCCCGATCCGACAGAGGGCATACAGAGTTCCCCAACACCTGGTGGAGAAGCTCAAGAAGGAAGTAGAGGAGATGCAGAAGCTGGGCGTCATCGAACCCTCAAATTCAGAGTGGTGCAGTCCCGTGGTGATCGTCCTAAAGAAAGATGGCTCCCTACGCATTTGTATAGACTTTCGAAAAATCAATGCAGTGTCGGAGTTTGACGCTTACCCAATGCCTCGAATTGACGAACTCCTGGAGAGGATTGGACGAGCCCAATACATCACAACGCTAGACCTATGCAAAGGGTACTGGCAGGTTCCGTTGGAGAAGTCAAGCCGGCCCTACACTGCATTCCAGACCCCCGCCGGGCTGTTCCAATTTACTGTGATGCCCTTTGGTTTACACGGTGCCCCAGCGACCTTCCAGCGGCTTATGGACCGGGTTCTACAGGGTTGTAGCCACTGCAGTGCTGCCTATTTGGACGATGTCGTGGTATACAGCAACAGCTGGGAAGACCACCTCAAACATCTTGCGCTGGTCCTGGGGAAAATCCAGAGAGCTGGGTTGACATTAAATCCATCCAAGTGCGAGTGGGCAAGAGAAGAGACCCAATACCTTGGATATCGACTTGGCCGAGGCGAGGTGCGTCCTCAAGTTGACAAGGTGGAAGCCGTCCGAAATTGCCCGCGACCACAAACGAAAAAAGAAGTGCGGTCCTTTCTGGGCCTGGCAGGCTGGTACCGGCGCTTTGTCCCTCAGTTTGCCACCCTTGCCGCACCTTTGACCGCGCTGACTGCGAAGGAACAGAGGAATCCCGTAGTCTGGTCCAAAGCCTGTGAAGAGGCATTTCAAACCCTCAAGGCTTGCCTCTGTTCCTCTCCGGTCCTCAAGAGTCCCGACTTCACCCGCCGCTTCCTAGTCCAGGTTGATGCGTCAGCGGTTGGACTCGGAGCGGTTCTGGCCCAAGGAGAACCTGGGGAAGAGCAGCCGGTGCTCTACCTGAGCCGAAAACTTTTGCCCAGAGAAACCCGTTACTCCACGGTGGAAAAAGAAGGACTGGCAATCAAATGGGCCTTAGAAAGCCTTCGATACTACCTGTTGGGCAGAGTTTTTGATCTGGAGACAGACCACAGAGCGTTGTCCTGGATCCACACTATGAAGGACCAAAACTGTCGGATTACACGTTGGTACCTGTCCTTGCAGCCTTTCCAGTTCACAGTCCGGCATAGAGCAGGGAAGTCCAACGTGGTAGCTGATTTCCTTTCAAGGTTGCCGCACATCGCCAACCTCGGAGAGGGGGGAAGTAATGTGACGGAGTCATTGCTCTCCCCCTGTCACTAATGCTCTGGTTGTGCGCGCACTCTGGCCATACTTCCCGGTGCGAGACGCGCGCTCCCGCGCAGAGTTTTACACACCACAATTAAGCATGTTGTACTCACCGGTCCCGCTACGTAATCGCAGGTCTCCACACATCCCCTTGTTTCTCCCCTCCATAAACCACACGGTAGCAGCATCCATGGCTCGCTGCAGCTCGGGGTGCACACCGGGTTCGCGCGCGCGCCTGTTCATGCTCTCCTCCTTCCGCGTACGTAGTACCAGGTGACCGGGCAAACCGAGCGCATCTTTGGCTATGCCATTTATACTGGGGTTAAGTGCGCTTTCACGCTTGGTTTGTTTAATATTCCTTTGTTTAATGATATCTCCCATATCCATGGAAGGGAATTAAAGGGGAGGTATGTTGAAATAATAGTAATGATAATTTGAGAGGAGTTTCAACCAGAAAGGGTTGTTTTGTAAAATTATATTAACTATTTTGTGTAACGCCCATGGGAGGGGCCTGGGGCATAAGAGGGGAGCTGTTTGGGCTGTACAGGGAGTCTTTTGCCTGGTTGCAGAGAGGGCAACATCCGGCTATTGTGGTATCCTGGCATTCTGAAAGGTTATGTACACAACTTATGTACATTTGTAAATATGTACATATATTGTTTTTTTACATGTTTGTAAATAGCACTGGGGAAATAAACTGGAGAAACAGTTTTTTTTGACTGGCCATTGGTTTTTTGAGAAGTGTTCCCACAACACAGACGTACTTGTCCAAACATGGCCTAGCGATACGACGGCTAAGCTAAAAGCTAGAAATACCATCACACTAACCAGACCTTATACATTATTACATATGGCTCCTGAATTAAGACGCATGGAGCTCCACTCTGTCCAAATCTGCTGAAATGCTTTTTGTGGTTGATCCAGAGGTTTCAAGTTCCTTGACAGTAAAAGCCGCCTTTGCAGAAATGAAAAAGAGGTCTTTTTAATGAGCTAACCTGACAAAATGACAATCCCCTTTTGCTTATAATGGAGCGATCAAACTTCACAGAGAAGGACAAATTCTCAGTGTTTTGTCACATTTTCCAAATCTAATACCATTACTGTACCATTTCAATCCCCACAGTCTCTGAATAATGCTTGGATGAAGTTTGGTCTTTACTCTTTTCAGTAATTGTCCAAATATAGGTCAGGAATTGACGGTTTAGGACGATATTTTTCAATCAGTGGGCCGTGGCTCGTTAGTTTGCCTTGAGACGTTGTTGGGTGTACTTTGGGAAATTATCCAATATCACCAATTGGTCAAAATAATGTTAAACGAGAAGTATTAGATAAAGAAAGATTAAACAGACTTTAGCGATTGTTTGAGTTTCTATACAATACACTTGACTTTGAGAATAACTTTGTATTGTTAATATTGAACATTGTAAAGCTCTTTGGGTGACCTGGCATTTGATTTAGCGCTAGCCGTTTACTTCCTGTCTTGACCAAAAAGTTGGCAAAATACAAGATTTTCTCCACTTTTTGGATAAAACTCACAATTGGGAGGACCAATACTCTTGATGGTCCACCCGGAAAAAGAACATTCTCCTATATACCTTTAATATAAACAAAACCCTAATCGACTCTTTACAAAGAGTGTGTGCTTTACGTGAAAATACATTCATTATAAACCTCAATTCAAATAAACCTGGACTTCACCAAGACAACAGCTGTATAAAACAAAGACAAGGCAAGTTTATTTGTATGGCGCAATTCATATAGAAGACATCTAAAAGTGCTGAACAAAACAAGCAAGACAATAAAATCCTAAATAATCTCTGTATATTAAAAAGAGTAAAAATAAAACCCCTGTAACTGTTATAACCTGAATTTGAACACGGTCGAAGAATTCTGTCTCACATTTTCAGGAAGACTGTTCCAGATTTTAGCTGCATAAATCTGAAATGCAGCCTCCCCATGTTTAGTTCTGACTCTGGGCACCAGTCGGACCAAACCGAACTCACTTTGTGCCCTAAACCAGAACCAAACAAGACGTCTGCAGGCTGAACTGCTGTCAGAGTGTGTCCGTCTGTCATGTGAGCAAAAATACTCCTGACTCCTAATTATACAATAACCTTTGTATGTTTTTTAAATGTTACGCTTTGGAGACGTACCTGTCCAAACATGACACCGGTGACACGGACACGGCGGCTGAGCAAAGAGGTAGAAATGCCATCACATTAACAAGACTCTGGGGATGAGAGAAAAGTCTGCATTAGCCCCTGTGTGTGCTCAGGCTATTATCACACTGTCCATTAGAGACTAGTGCATGTGAGATGTGTGAGTACCAGAGGCTGCTATGGGCAATGTATCTATATACAGTATGTTATTTTCATTGTTACACACTCAGTCAAACTAAGCATATAGTTACTGAGACAGTGATCATCTGACTTCTGAGATGTTTTACGGTAAAAGGACTTCTTATAGGACCACTTTAATGACCTAAAAACTGCCTTCCAGACCGCACATGGCACATTCTTTATACAAGAGGTTAATTATCTAAGTCCATCCACAGCCATAATCTGTTTGCATACTTTTCAAAGCTTTTTAAACTTCACTTGTTTCTTTTTGCTTTGCTTCTATTCTAAAATGCTGGTTACTACACTTATATACTACACTACAATCACTGTTACATCAGTGATAAATGTGAATCAGTTTTATACAGCATTATTTTGGACAGTCAAATGTAAGATGAGGTAGACGTTATTGTGCCCATTGGGAAATGTTTCCACTGCATTTGACCCTTCCTGCAATGCCACTAATGGGGCTTTCACACCGCCGACGCTGGAACGCTGAAGCCTCGCGCACCAGACACACATTCTCTATTTTTCAGACGCAGGGGACTTCCCACCAGAAGTCCTGGCCAGCGGTGGCGCGCGCCGGAAGTGGCGGAAGTAGCTGGCGGGCTTTGATGCTAACGGACTTAAGCTAGCGGCTTTTTGTGTAAAGTTCTTTTCCAATAATGCAGCTTTGCAGCGTCTCTGTGTCCAGAGACCTTCCAGAGACTTTATATAACAGTAGCATGTGTTCATGGAGGTGCGCCATAAGTTTATTTTATTATTAAACGGTACTTCCGCATCG